GCTTAGTCAGATATGGGCGCCACGGTGGTGAGATGTTAACTACCTTGCCTGGTTTACAGATTGTGGGTTTGATCCCGACGCTGACGCCTGCATATTTGGAGTTTGCATGTTCTCCTCGTGGTCGCGTGGATTTTTCTCCGAGTCCTCCGGTTTTCCCCTCCACATTTAGAATCAACGTGCGTTTAGAGTATTTGGCTGATATACATTTCCACGCGATAAGCCGCTTCGTTGAGCTATCATTTGTGGCCAGGTAGCTTCTGAAAAAGAGCTACATAGCTCAGTGAGCCCTACCTGGTGAAATAAAAAGTTGTAGTTTAGTCGAATCAAAATGCTCATCCTTCATGAATGAACTACCCAGTCATAGCCTACGCAGATAACGGAACCGGTCTCATCCCTTCACTCGCTTTACATATTGCCTTAATTTTTAAATAAACATTTATCACCCACCTCCGAAATAAAAGCGACGGTGCTGAATGGGCACGGAACGGACACGGAACGGACACGCGCATGCATGAACGCGCCCATTTGACAATTCACCGTTGAATACAGACAAGCATTGAGCCTTTCATATTCCGAGGAACAGAGTGACGGGAGCAAGGAGAATATTTGACAGCGTTTGTCTGGAGCAGTCATTTGCTTTGAGGGCAGGATGCAATTCCCATCTCGTAGGGGAGGGCTTAAGGGGGTGCATGGGCAGGCGGGTGTTGAGTCGGTGCCCCCAGGGGGATGGGGAGTCGAGATCGGGCTGGGTGGAGGGCTGGGTGGAGCTCTGGGTGGAGTTGCCACGACCAACTTTGGATAGACGCGGTCTCTGTGTTTTGGCAGCCGCTCTGAACGGCCACACAAGGGCTCTGCCCCCCCCCCCCCCGCGTCCCCCGCGTTTTAATTCAAAGGCCGTGTTCAGCTCTTGAATGGGTGCTCTTGTGTGGCGCTTACCATGCCTTGGCCCCGCTATTGTTTTGGTGTAGATCATTAGTAGAACTTGTACTCTCGACAATCGAGTGTGCTTTTCTACACATTTTACAGCCATGTGTATTTATGTAATTTTACGGGAGACTTGGTTTTTTTACGCTAAAATGTTCTGAACGATGACATTATTCTTCTTGGTTCTTTCGGTAAAGTCACGTAGAAGGGAAATAATAAAATAATAAGACATTATATTATAAAATAATATGTTTTCTTTTTATTGTTTTATTATTTCCCTTCTACGTGACTTTACCGAAAGAACCAAGAAGATGAATCCCTGCAGTCACGAAAGCTTTAAATCGAAATTTAATGACATTATTATTTGGCGATGCTGCTGCCTGCTGCGTTAACAGCGTTGCACCAGAACAAATAACGAATAAACAACTAACGAATAAAACTCAATGCGTTCTTTCATAACACTGCGGCCTTAAAAAACAAGGCGAAGTTTCGGGCACGTGGCCCTTCACAGGACATACGAGAGGGCCAGCGTTGGTGACAAACGTGTTGAGTTTTTTGTTAACAAAAACAAACGTTGCCTTTTATTCCTGGGGTTAAGCTGCTGCTGTCGACAAATGTTATTGGCGAGCACCTATTACGATCTTCTCGGTTCTTTCGGTAAAGTCACGTAGAAGGGAAGTAATAAAATAATAAAAATAAAACATAATCAAATAATTCTCACGACGTTTCGGCCACAACGCAAGCAGCCGTCTTCAGGTGGAGAACAGGTCTGTCAAGTAGACAGAGTATTATTTTATTGTTTATTTTTATTATTTTATTACTTCCCTTCTACATGACTTTACAGAAAGAACCAAGAAGATGAATCCCTGCAGTCATGAAAGCTTTAAATCGAAAAATTCACCTATTACGAGTCGGATGAAGGAAGTCACCAATGAGGCCAGCTAATGCCTGCTTTTTGTAAAACGGGTAACTTTTCATCGGTGGTCAGCGCCCGAGTTTGAATCCTGGACACACGCTAACGTTTATTGGCGAGTTATATCTGAGCCGGTTGTAGCCCCCACCTCCCTCTTCACCAACCCGCACGCTGGCCAAGTGCGGTGAGATGAGGTCAAACCACCACCACAAACCAACGACACAGTGTGGGGAGGCATTCATCCAGCAGTGAATTAACAAAAGGCTGTGAACTGTTATTATTTTTCGATTTAAAGCTTTCGTGACTGCAGGGATTCATCTCCTTGGTTCTTTTGGTAAAGTCACGTAGAAGGGAAGTAATAAAATAATAAAAATAAAACATAATAAAATTATATATATATATTTTATTATGTTTTATTATTATTTTATTATTTCCCTTCTACGTGACTTTACCGAAAGAACCAAGCAGATGTTATTATTTTGTATTGAGCCCTGAGCGTTTCGACAACGGTAGAACTAACATCATGGCCAGTCCAGTTGCCTCTGCACGTGTTGACACACAGAAGGAAAAGCTATTTTGAACCGAGGGGTTCAATACTGATAATAAGAGCCTAAACGTAATGGACAAAAAGGAAAGTTTGTTAAATGATTTAGCTTAAGGAATCACTGTAAGAGCATTTCAGAATTAGTCATGTGAGATTGTACACCCATACACAGGGTCCGGTTGAACTACGTCAACCCGCTTGGAGCTCTCCGTGCCAAAAGGAAGGGTGTGGTTTTTGCCACGGCCGAATGAATCGTCTAAACACGTGAAATCCGGTGAAGTTCATGTGCAGCCGTAGATCACACACACATGCGCAACAGAGCATAGACAATTTCAGTTTGCAAATAGATGAAGATATATTTTTACCATTTCCACAAATTTTTAGTCGATGAAGTTGACACATTATTGTCTAGGCTTTAACTTTCGTGCTTCATTTGTCACGAACAAGATCCAACAGTCGAGTTCAATAGGGAATTGAAAGCCCATTACTGTTGACGTCACCACAACACCCATCCATTATTTCCTTCCTTCTAGCAGATCCCACAAGGGTTGCAGTCAACACCCAACCTCCAGAGTCCGCTTACGAGTCAAAACACCGTGCTCACCAGATGTTATAGCTTTAGGTTGTTTCAGTTTGAATCCTGCAAATGCAGCTGAGCATCGGCACTTTCCTCCTCACCCGTGGCCTCGGCGAACGGTCCTAGGAGGACTTTTAAACTTCTTTTTTGTCTTCTTGGTTCTTTCGGTAAAGTCACGTAGAAGGGAATTAATAAAATAATGAAAATTTAACATGATAAAATACAATTTTCACGACGTTTCGGCCACAACGCCAGCAGCCGTCCTCAGGTGAAGAACAGGTCTGTCGGAAAGACAGTGTCTGAATGTCTTTCCGACAGACCTGTTCTTCACCTGAGGACGGCTGCTTGCGTTGTGGCCGAAACGTCGTGAGAATTATTTTATTATGTTTTATTTTTATTATTTTATTATTTCCCTTCTACGTGACTTTACCGAAAGAACCAAGAAGATGAATCCCTGCAGTCACGAAAGCTTTAATCGAAATTATTTTTTGTGCTTGGGCATCCAATCCCTGGGGGTTTCCCACATCGTGTTTCGTCAGCTATGTTGTCTGCACAGAATAGAGGTGGGGGGGGGGGGGTACACACGTGTTTTACGAAACTCCCAGACAGGATGAACGACTGCCGTCGACGCCGCCAACAGGGTACAGTGCTTGTTGTGTACTGGACAGGAAACCGGAACGTTTGGCGAAAAATTGGGATGCGTGAAAGCGTACAGTGCACTGGTGGCGCGCGGCGTTGATTTGGCCTCTCTAGTAGTGTCCCCGCCCGTCAGAGGTCGCAAACGGGTTTTGTTTCCTTACCCGTACCCGTACCCGGCCATGCCAGGGTCGCAAATGGGTACCCGTACCCGACCGGGTACGGGTACCCGTTCCCTACCTGTACCCTTCCCGAAATGAGTGACAAACGGTTACTCATCAGTGACTCACGGTCTACCCGTACCCGGCCGCACCAGGGTCGCAAACGGCTACCCGTACCCGTACCCGACCGGGTACGGGTAGCCGGGTATCGGGTAGGGTACGGGTATCGGGTACCCGGTTGCGACCTCTGCCGCCCGTGCCCCCTTTCCCGGGTACCCGGCACCCCGAATCCAGCTTGTGTTGGAATTTTGTTGTGGCTGCTGCTCCTAAAAACAACAAGTTGCCTCCCAGGGTGGCCTGGCAGGCAGATATTTATTTGTTTTATATATTCCGCTTCCCGCTAGACGATGGAATAGGCTCAAACAAATTTGTGATTTCCGGTCAAGTTGACCGTGTCCGTAGTTTCAATGTGGTTCACGCTGCCCTGAAGCCACCAATGATATTGTCACACCACTTAAAAAAATTACAATTGACACCCCATGATCGGACAGCAGGATGACCCCGAGTGGTCAGTGTGTTCGGTTATCGGGTTTGTTTCGCACAACTGCCAGGATTACTAATCTACAACTCGCATCTTAACAATTGCCTGATTACCAATCTAGTACATCATTACAATAACCCCCCCTCCGCCTCAAATCGTTGCATCTGATGAGTTAAATGATGACGTCACCCTGCTGCTGCTCTATTTAAGACCGGGAGCCAGAGCAGAGCCTCACCATTCTGGCGAATTGCCCGATGATGCTGGATGCAATTACCAGCGAAAAGTCGTACTCAAAAATTGTAAATGTTGTGGTTTCACGCTTCAACACACCGGTGGGCTAAAATAGTGAACTATTTGTCTTTTGTCAACGTGACACTTTTTTGCTGATTGGCCGTGTCGGGTGGTGGAGGGTTACGACACATTTATAAATAACGCGATCTAATTTTCCATGTGGAATCTTGCCAAAATACGCTACGCGTTGTGGTGTTGTGAACGCGTGAAGACCCTTGCAACATTCGGAAGAGTGGGCCAGTCGTGTTAGTGCCACGTCAATTCTATTACACGCACGTTGTGAAATGCAGTCGATCATTAAGAAGCGTTTAGAGAAACGATTGGGAATTTTCAGTTGAGCGATTTAGCCATTCAGCCGCTTTTAGAGTTTTTGTAAGAGCAAAGGTGTAGCAACGTCTGGTGTGTGTCCACAGGTGGAGCTGGCGCTATGGGACACGGCCGGGCAGGAGGACTACGACCGCTTGCGGCCCCTCAGCTACCCGGACACCGATGTCATCCTCATGTGCTTCAGCATCGACAGCCCCGACAGCCTTGGTGAGAGGACCTCCGATTAGCACGCTTGGCTACGCCTGGACGCCACCATTCCTAGGCCCAAGGGAAGGCAAGAACAGTGGCTTTAATCCTTTTGACCATACTTCACCACACTAATTCTTGTTGTGAGTTGAAGGCGTGGTGGGGGAGGCAGGCAGGACTCATTTCAGAGACCACCACAGATTCATCTTCCTGGTTCTTTCAGGTCAAGTCACGTAGAAGGGAAATAATAAAATAATAAAAATAAAACATAATAAAATACAATTCTCACGACGTTTTTGGCCACAACGCAAGCAGCCGTCCTCAGGTGAAGAACAGGTCTGTCAGAAAGACAGCGTCTGAATGAACACCACCAAGCTTGCCAGCGTATATTTAAGCTGGGTTAGAGGAGGAAGGGCGCCTTGACAAAGCTTTAAATCGAAATTTACCACCACAGATGTTAGCTGTGTCTGGGAAATCCCACTTAGGGTGTCGGGGTTCAGAGCCACTGCCCCACCGACGACGATGAGGGCCCCGTTTTTAAACAGAGGGTACTCGATAATTGGTTTTTTACCCTTCTATCTGGCAACAAAACTGACACCTTTTTACAAGGAGTCATGTTTGCATAAACCGCAATACCTGTAGTCATAATACAAACAAAAGACAAAAGACAAAACTCTGATAATGTGCACATTATCAGAGTTTTGTCTTTTGTTTGTATTATGACTGCAGGTATTGCGGTCTATGCAAACATGACTCCTTGTAAAAAGGTGTCAGTTTTGTTGCCAGATAGAAGGGTAAAAAACCAATTATCATATTTTTTCTGGCAAATGAGGTTCCCATAGCAGAGGGTTCTCGTTTGTAAAACCGCGTTGGCGCCTTGCAGAGCCTACAAGCGTCCGCCGTAGAAACCTTCCGAGGAAGGAGCTAAGACGTCGTCGCTGTGCCTTTGCCGCGGTGTGCAGAAAACATTCCCGAGAAGTGGACGCCGGAGGTGAAGCACTTCTGCCCCAACGTGCCCATCATCCTGGTCGGCAACAAGAAGGATCTGCGCAACGATGAGAGCACGCGCAGGGAACTGGCCAAGACGAAGCAGGTTTTGGTGACGCACACGCAAAGTCGCAGGACTGTTTCCTTTGATAATTGTTTTTTTACCCTTTTATCTGGCAACAAAACTGACACCTTTTTTTTTTACAAGGAGTCATGTTTGCATAGACCACAATACCTGCAGTCATAATGCAAACAAAAAATATAACTCTGATAATGTATGCACTGTCCTTAAAGTTGATTGGTCCACACCCAAGACATCGTTCAATTGCGTAATGCGCTGATGTACCAGTGTCTCACAAATGCCACACCATCAACTGCGGAAGTAAATTAACGCGATGAATAATTGTTAAAAATGTCTTCGGCAGAAAATTATTTCCCGTGCAATTGAGAGGGGTAGGGTTGCACTCATCTCAGTTCGTGCTAAGCCAGTGCTAAAAATACCACGTGACTAGCAGAGGCAAGTGCGTACCCTCCATAGTCCAAGCGCTGTTGACTTCCCACACAGCGATACGAAATTTAGCAACCTGACTTATGCGATTTATAAACTTGAAATAGCTTTGCGAGCCGTGTGCTCTCTTAACCACTCCAGCATCGTATCGTATAAATCAACACCCGAATCCACACGCCTCCTTGCAGGTGCCCGTGACGACGGAGGAAGGGCGCGACATGGCCAATCGCATCAACGGCTTCGGCTACATGGAGTGCTCCGCCAAGACGAAGGACGGTGTGCGCGAGGTGTTTGAGATGGCCACGCGCGCCGCCCTGCAGGTGCGCAAGCGCAGGAAACGGCAGGCGTGCTCCCTGCTGTAAGGTGGAGAGGGCAGGTCTCTACCCGTGCCCCGCGCCCCCACTTCTACCAAGGTCTACGGCGACCACCACCACATTCTCTTATTATTTTATTTTTTCCATTCTACGTGACTTTACCGAAAGAACCAAGAAGATGAATCCCTGCAGTCACGAAAGCTTTAAATCGAAATTTACACAACCACATTGCCGAAGCCTCATTTGTGCATAAGCTCTGAAGCTGGGCTGCAAAAGTTCACTCTTATTGAAAGTTGTTAAAAGAGTAGCTTTTTTATTTAAAGGATGTGGAAAAAATTGTGGTTTGTTGCTAGATGACGGGACACTCGTTCGCATTCGGTAGTGGAACGATGCGTCACGTCCGCCTAACACTCGGCCAGTATATCTCTCTTCGGCCATCATCTCCTCTTAAAGCGTGGCCTGGGGCAACAGCCCTTCAATAGAACTGCACTCCGGAGCGCCCTGCGCATTGATCGGCATGCACCCCTGATCGCGGAAATCTATTGCACACAACTGGTTGCGTTTGTTTAGAACGCATTTTTTTTTATATACGTGTCGAACCGGATTATTTTTACCTGCGGAAAATTTTGCTGCAAATTTTCAAAGCGCACCATTTTTAAATTGGAAACCAAATATCTCCATTCAAATGAGCTTCGGGCCATTCACATTGAGGTGGCCCCAAAACCCATCGGCCATAAATTCACATTTCGATGCCGGGAAGGGCCAATAACTCCATGGGCTGACCACTGTTGACTTTGCATTAAATAGTACTCATTGGGATATCACCAACAGATAAATGAAGCATGTGAAACTGTTCTTGTGCTTCGAGGATGAATATACGATTCAATGTAGAGTACTGAATATGGCTGCTGTAGCACCAAGGGGGATGATGTTGTACCCAAACACCACTGTAATCCACGTGTTTTACCCAATATAATTCTCATTGAGACCGCACAAATTAACAGCACTTAGATCGTTGGTGTAAACCTGACTCATGCCAAATCCAGTTCCTGCCACTAACCACATGACCGAGAATAGAACCCGAGCCACCGCAGTTGCGACGTAAGATTCTGCAACTGCTTAACCACTGCTCCTTAACTCGGTCATTACCCCGTGCGTAGGTTACGAAGGTAGCACCTGCGGTATCCGCCACAAGAGTCAGCGCGACTTCATTTCCACCCCACTGCACGTTTGTTGCGGCAGGCAGCTTGAGCTCGCCTTTTTGACGTTATTATGAAATATGCTGGGAGCGCGTAATCTCTTTGAATCTGTAACGGCACCGTGCTATCGGCGTCAAATGTCGCGCCAGAAGGGATGGCATCACAGTTGAGTTTCGTTCTTCGTTTTCATGTTTATTTATTTTTTTGCGCGGCGCATTTGTAGAGCTGCCCCGAATAAGCCGTTTGGCAGAGAAACACCGGTGCCTACAACGTATATCGGAGGGTGCTTTAATTGTAAGATGTGTAGATTACGGCTTTAAGTCGATAAGGAAAGAGCTTTTATGAACAGCATTTGCATTGCATGATTACAGTCATCTGGAAGCACGTGTCCACATTGAAGATGTTGTTTTTTTTCTTTACAGTGCGCCAAACATCTCAATACCTTTGCTGTAGGTGGTACCGGTATTTCTTATTTTTATTCGACGCAATCTTAATGGAGGGGGCCGTTTTGAAATGACTCCACACAAAACTGAAAGCCGTTCACTCTTTGGACCGGGCCAGCTTCAATTTACCAAGTCGTTGAGCATTTTAAATTAATGGAAGATGGACATTGTATTTATAAAATATTGAACAGACAGTATAGACTTTCTACACTGTTCTGCAATTGATGGGTTCCCATGAAATACAGGCCTTTCCTATACAGGTTGCGAAAACATCTGAGGTATCTGAAGCTAGATCTGGGAATAGGTTTACGTTCGGGGGAAAACACTTCCCGCCAGCATTTCAATCAATCTGCTTTATCCGCTGCCGTGCATTTCACACTGAAACTGGCAGGAAGCGCTGCAAAGGGGGAAAAACTAAATGCACGTACTAATTAAATATATAAACACAGCTTCAAGTATTTTTGCTAACATAAGTGGTACCAATTTTTGCTGTGGCCCATAGACTACAAGACAAGAGGCATGTGCGTACAGCCTAATGCCTTGCATATATCCATTATATCTGCTGCTTCCTGGGTCAGTCCACACTTGTTACCGGCTTACGTGTGGAGAGGATTACTGCTGCCTGCTCTGTGCATGTTGAACTTCTTTTGCACCCTACGTAGCCAACCGTGCTCATCGGAGGCGCCCTAAAGAAACTGCCGCACATCGTCCTTTCAAATATCACTGGTGTCTCAAACCTAAAACCTGATCCGAATGGTGAGTGCACATTATGTGACCTACGTAAAAGTGCTACTGCATACGAACGCGATTTAGACCCCGTGACGTGCCTGCCTAGGTTTCGCGTCTCTGTCGCGTCTTTGGGGCCCAAGGCTTTACACATCTCTTAGTTATTAACAAGATTGTTTCGTGACTGTAGAAACGAATCGATAGGTTTATTAGCGATTGCATTAAAGTTGGTCCTACACTTCCGTTGTGTAAAGATGCAAAAAAAATCGTCTAACAATGGTCGTTTTCACATCGATTCCCACGTCAAGAGCGGAGTTACGTTTCGGCCCCAAAATCTTCCACTCGTGAACAACTTTTTCTAACTCGAGAAAATAAAGTAAGAAAACATCAAATGTAACTCCGCAGATGAAGAACCACGTTGCGCGTTTGCAGGTGCCTTGTCCTCAGCGTCTGTACTGGACGTCTGTAAATTAAAATTGCTCGCGATAGCGAATTCTCGAAGAAAGAACACTCGTTAAGCGAGACATTTATTGAAATAACCACATTAATAAAAGGCTGCTTATGTGACATTTTCACAAATGTGCAGGGACCCCTCTACTTATGAACATTCGACTTGCGAACTTTGAGAGAAACAAACAAACAATTGAGAGTCGTAACTTCAACCGCCACGCAAAAGATGGTGGTGGCATCTACATCTGCGGAACATGAAGAGCCATTGGCATCTACAGGAGATTATACAACTTTTAAAGCAATTACCCGTGTTTAGTGCACATGCCGTACAACGTGCTTGAAATCGACAGGAGTAAAGTTGGACTTAGGAACAAATCGACTTACGAACAGACCTGAAACCTCACTCGTTCATTAGTAGAGTCTCTGTATTGGAAGACTATCACATACATGGCCTGAGAAGATAACATGCAACGAACAATTGTGTTTTTACTTGTGGAGATGAATTATTTGATCTCAACATCTACACTAACAATAGAACAAGGTGCTCTTTGGCGATAACTATTTGAGATGGAGGAAACAACGTTACGTGTATCACTATTTAATTATCCCGACATTTATTGATATGCAAGAAATAGAACACATTTATGCATCGAATAGCATTGTGGGGATTGTGGTCCGATTTTCGATAGTTAGCGATGCATTCTTCGGCCGACGACGATTTTTCTAAGGCAACGGATTTAATTCGAGGCACGTTCAAAAAGTCACAGGCACAACGGGAGGGCGAAACAAGCATTTGGTGGATGCATAAATAAAACAACAAAAAACTCAACACGTTCATCAATAACACCGCAGCCTTGAAAGGAAAAAAATATTTACTTGCTGACATTTCAGACAGTGCAATTTCTTCATCGTAAAAAAATATTTCCACGACTTGTAAGTTAATAATTGAGAGTAACGTGCGTGTATTCCTTCGGTGCCTTAGTCCATCATTGACTACATTTCTGTAATTATTATTACATCAAGAAAACATTTAAAATACATCGCGGTCAGTTTTACATGCACGATAGGCTTTGCTAATGCATTAATGGGTCATGAGAGAGCTTTTCTCAATTTAGTTTTGTGCTGGGGAGGGCAGGGGGAGGAGGCTGTTTTAATGAGGAACATTTTACAATGACCTCCACGAATGCACAGCAATCGAATCCCATCAAAGTTCCGTTGTAGTGCAAACGTAATATTACAGGAATAAAGGGCATTGCTGAACAATTTTATTTATGCATGTCGTACGTGTCAGCCACTTATCAGTCTTCATTTGAAGGTTTCGTGACTGCAGGAATCCATACTCTCTGTTTCTTTCGGTAAAGTCACGTAGGTAGAAATAAAATAAAATCAATCACGACGTTTCGAACGCAACACAAGCGCCCGTCTACATGTGAGAATCGCGACATCTGCGATGTCTGCTGCGAACAGCACGATGTCTGCTCACTTATCAGAGCCCTACCTTATTACAGACCAATTAAGACCTTATTGGTCACCCCGTACCCCTTTATACATCTCAACGTTCATCCTACAAAGTCCCTTCATCACAAGGGAGAAACGCAGACAATTAAAACAAAATTTTGCCCGTATTGAAACGGCTGTATGCCGTATGGACTTGAAAACTCAATTTCCCTGCACAAGCATACGGGGTGAACCGTCTGGGTTGACAGCTGTGGCATGTTGAGGTATGGACCAGGAGGGTGTCGGCAACTCGGGACACCATGCGGCTCTTTAAAGGACCGCTTCATGAAGTTGGTCACGATGCATTAACGGCTCTTAAAATTTGAGGGATTATTTTTTTACTCAATTCTTGGCTATTTTCGCTACCGACCCCTGGTTGGTAGTGAAAATAATCGGGATCAATTTTTGTCTTTGTGTTGTTGATAGCGAGCGGCTATGAACAATTTGCTTTTAAGAGTTGTGGCATTTACACAAAGCATTGTGTAAGCTACTGCATAGTATTAATAATGAATGAGATATTTGAGTCATGGTGACATTTAAATGTAGATTTTTTTTTTACATTCGGTTGCTTGGCATTTGACACGATCTCCATTTTATTTGACCCCAAAAAAAACGTTTTTACTTTGGACACCTGATGGCATTTGTTATTGATGAACGAGTTACCCTCCACTTTCCGCTGTTGGCTTGCTGCGGAAAAACAAGGGTGAACCGGACATTATATTTAAACTCCCGTTTTGTACTATAATAAAAGTGCAAAACATTCGTTTTAGTGCACACGGGCTTGTGACTTTTTGAACGTGTCCACATTAACCCAAATGTAAATAGACATTGTAGCAACAAAAGTATATATTTTGATGCGCGTGTAGAAATAGGCAAACTGTGGCTTTGTCAGGCCTATTAATATTTTCACTTTCATAGATGCCTTGCAGTTGTAACATACGGAAACTGTTCTGGTTAACCAACATCCATGACCAAACCTCCAGCAATATAATACAATTGTACAAATAATTTGACGACGATGATGCTGCTGCTGCTGCGTTGGCAGTAGTGCGCAAATAACAATACGCTCAAACGCAATTTGTTGGCAGCACTGTGGCCTTAAAAAGATTAAGTGTTTATATACACAACGTTTCAGGCAATGGCCCTTCTTTGTAGAATGTGGTCAGAGGCAGACAGAGGGCCAGAAAGGTGAGTGAAACATGTATCGTGCATGAGGTTAAAGGGGCATTTCTTTTTACTCATTTAAAGTATAGTGAAATATTCCTAAATAAAAAAAATACACTTGTTGATAGTTAAGTCTATAAGCTTGCTTGTGCGTGCGTTAAGTCTATTTGACAAATAAGATTATCGAAAAAAAAATTGGGTTAGATCGCGTAAATATAAATGCGTCCTTAAACCTGCCACCACCCAACACAGCAAATTACTAAGATTTATCACGAAGCGAAACATGCCAATTCGCTACTAGTTCAGCACACCGGTGTGTTGGAGAGTGGTGGTAGCGTCACATTCACCGTTGATACAATTCTTAGCGGTCTTACATTCCATAATGTAAAATATATATTTTGCATGTGCTATGAAGAAGAGCCATTGCTCAAAGCATCACCTATTATAGACATTTCCCGTCCAGGTCACAGTGTTTTTGACGAATGTGTTTTTAGCAGTGGCGGCTCCTGCAAAATCTCTCAGGGGGGGCAAATGTCTGGATGATTGATAAGGATAAGGTCCACCCATGCAATGAATAAATTAACAGCTTAAGCATGTAAAGGCAACTTCACTTCTTTAATATTAATGAAAAATAAAGTGACTCTTACAATACATCTTGTTTGTTTATATACTCACTATTAAAACACTCAAGTTTATTTTATTAAAGATTCCACTAGGTAGCGATAAATTATATTGTTGGATGAAACGTGCTTACTTATGATGACGTAAGCACGTATGATGACGTAAGCACGTTAGGGCGAGCCCTCCCGGAAGCCATAGAGAATGCATGGGAGCGCCCCCGTTCGAAAAAAAACATCTTTGAATGTAAGTCTATGGGACCACTCGGGGCGATTCTCAGCTGGAGGGAAATCGCCCCAAAAGAGGCGGTACTCCACAGAACGTAGCATGACGCTGATTGGACTATATCCAGAGGCTGACAGTGACGGCTAGCGTGACTGTGGTTGAATGACATTGGTGGTGCGTCGCCCAATCGCCCTAACGAAGAAACCGCCCCTGGTTTTTAGTTTCTTCCCCATAGCGTCGTGTAGATACGTGCCAACAGCAGCGGCAAAGTAACGCACTGCAAGAAACGCCAAACACACGTGGGGAACGTTTGCGATTCAGATCGCAAATCTGCGCGAATCACATTGGAGCATACCGTCAACATGAAATTAAAAATATATTTGATTGATGTCTACACACTTTTTCTTTGGCGAATGAACATATGTCCTGCTAAGTGGAATTCATCACAAAGTGACCATCACCACTGCATTGTCTGGCGCTCCCAAAGGGGATTGTAGTGTTCTGGTTGTAATTAAGCAAGTACACACACCCGTTGACATGTTCCTAAAAACGATTTTACTTCATTATTGATGGGAGAGTGACAAAGGTGGATTTGGTTTCCCGTGTGGAAAGTGGACGACAGCTGATAAGGTGATTGGTAAGATGTTTTATTTTTGTTACACCCACAGGATGCTTCTACCTTACAAAACACGCCGCATTCTGCCAAATTCTTAGGCCCGGACGCCTGTTACGCATCACGCGAGCTGCAGAGTGGGGATAAAGACACAACCGGCCTGATCATTCCCAGATCGTACACCGGCGGGTTGGGGCATGTGGTTTGCATTGTGGTGCATGTACAGCTCTCTCGTCATCTCAATCCACTGCTGGATGATGGCCTTCCCACGCAGTGCCGGTTATTTTATTATCGTTCGCCGCTGGCTTTGGTCAAAGGGTGAAGGGTATCACGTGGTACGGCACCTCTGCCAACAACTTAACCCCGCAGTAGCCTCAAGCACGGTGGCGGTCTCCCATCCCAAGCGCTCTGCAGGCTCAGAATCCTTTAGGATTTCACATATTGCAACTATCTTGAGGTTTTGGGCAAGCCAACAGGAGCAAGTGTCCCCATTGCAAAGCGGAATTCCGCGGAAGTTCTCAAGTGTTTGCACACGTGACACTCTTTACAGGTGCACGCATATAAGAACATGTGGCAAAGTAATTTAGGGCATTCATACTTAGTTTTTTCGGTAAAGTCACGTAGGTAAAAAATGAAATTAAAATTAATAAAAGTAATAATAGAAATAAAATAATACAAAATAAAAAATCACGACGTTTCGGAGGCAACACAAGTCTCCGTCATCAGGTGGGACCGTCACAGCCAGATTTGCTGTATCAAGTGAGGCAGGGATTCCAATGTGCAAGTTCTTAAATACAAGTTAAGGGGGAGGAGGGGGGGGGAGCTTATCAGAATGTGGTAGCCAATGAATGGAACGTATTATTTCTATTATTTTACTAATTTCAAATTCATTTTTTACCTACGTGACTTTACCGAAACAACTAAGAGTACAAGTTAGGGCAGTCCACTTTTTTGAGGAGGGGTGCTTTCCATGCCGAGTAGTTGGCCAAGCTCCCAATGGAATCAATCTTAATTTTGGAGCTTTCGTGACTGCAGGAATTATTCTTTGGTTCTTTCGGTAAAGTCACGTATAAAGATAAAATAATAAATTAAATAAAAGCATACTACGACGTTTCGATTGCAACACAAGCAATCATCAGGTATAAAAGAAATAGCAACAAAAATCTAACCAGAAAACTATAGACAGACATATAAGCAGACAGACATCATAAAGATACACTCTCTGTGTATCAGGTATAAAAGAAATAGCAACAAAAATCTAACCAAAAAACTATAGACAGACATATAAGCAGACAGACATCATAAAGATACACTCTCTGTGTATCTTTATGATGTCTGTCTGCTTATATGTCTGTCTATAGTTTTCTGGTTAGATTTTTGTTGCTATTTCTTTTATACCTGATCCCAATGGAATCGTCCAGTGTTTGTGGCAAGCTCGGACAGAGCCAACGTGGTTTGCAGAAATTGGAAACGAGAGGATTGTTCAGCTCGGTAAATAAACTGAACACACGGAGAGAATGTTTTCTTGAGTTAGGGCCAGCGTGCAAGCTGAACGTGCGTCAGAGGCAAACACGCAAGTACAAGGACATTCTGTGCATTGTTTTAACCAGCGTGCATGTTTACAAAGTTCATTTGCCTATCGCGGTTTTGAAGTTCTGATTCAACAAGAGAATGGGCATTATCGCCAGCTAGTTTATAGAGGTGGCGGACCGTCTGCAAGCGAGCAATTATTTTTTCCCCACTTCCCATATTTATCTCGGGAACACCGCGATGTTGGCAACAGAGTTTGTTTGCGTTTGGAACAAACAATTGAAGCAGCCACCTGTATTTTTTAGTTGGTTTATGGGAGTACACATTATGTCAGAGGTTCGCTCAATCCTTTGCTAACCTGTTTACAACTTTTTGACTTAGGCTCTCACTCTATATGAAGCTGGTAATAATGCTGTAGAAGTATATGAATACATCTTTAACTGGAAGAAAATGTGTGATGCACGTTCATCATGTGTGTGCGCGCATTGTGTTTAAACTGTGCCTTTATAACAATGTATTACACGTGTAATGTGTTACAGTGTGGGCAATGACGATTTCTGAATAACAATTAGTCATTGTCGGAAATTCATCTCTCATATGGCAATGACACCGGTATAACTTTTTTGCAGTTTACCCAAAACATCATTATCAGTCTCCCCTTTGCATGGAGTACAATTGGTGGAACATTGTACCGAGCTTAACACGTCGGCTTTCGTGACCAATGTTCATAATAAAGGTTTTTGGGTTCGATTGCTGTAAATGTGTCGTAACCCTCCACCACCCACACAGCCAGTAGCTTCATAGTCCTTAACATAATTCGTTTTAATTAGCGCATAATTATTGTTAAGAATAAAGCTCGGCGTAGTTTTCCACCAATTGTACCCCCGAAAAGGAGAAAATTCTTAATAATAATTAACAGAATTAGTATTCTTTTATTAATAAATTAGTATTCAGGATTAGTATTAATTGTTAAAAATGATTCCGCTTGGTACTGTTTTCCACCACGTAGTACCCCAGAAAAGGAGACAATGCGACTTGATTATATTCAGTTTCCCAAAAGCAGGCAATTGTGGAATGGCAAGCCAGAGGTCGCAAAGGTCGCGGAGAAGGAAGGCAAGCCAGAGACTGTGGAATGATGCAAGCACGCACATTCGGTGTTGACGGTGCGGTACAGGTTGTAGAAGCTGGTAGGGAAAAGACAGCAAATTGTAAGGGTTTGGTTTGGAACGCGTCCCTTGAATTGGCCAGGTGACATCTGACAAATAAGCGGAATTTTGTTTGATGAATTATTTTCACAAAAAGCTATTTTTAAACTGTAGGAAAGCCACGGCGCATACACGTCGCTCGCGTTGACACTTGCGTTCAATTGTAATTGAGACATTTGATTAATAAAAATGTATAATTGCCTGCCGTTTGACCGTGTGTGTTCTTCGCCGTGGGTTGACAACTCGTTGCTTCGGAACGAGCTGTTCGTGTTTTGATTTATCCTTCCCCGGCACCTCCGATTTGCGCGGATGGCTACGTAGGGTGTGAAAGAAGTTCAACATGCACAGAGTGGTCGTGTTTTAAGAAGGACCTCTACCGGTGGGAAGTTTTAATCCGCACTAAATATTTTCTCATAATATAGTTTTTTTTGGGTTAAGATTGCTGTCGCCTGAAGCTCGTAAACACATTCCTGCGGAGGGAGCTGGTAGGAACGTTGGGTTGCTCGGTCAATGGCCTGCAGGGTCAACGGCGGCGTGGTGTATTCCGCAAATATGCCCGACTGTGAGGGCGGGCACAAGCCGGCGTGAGTAGGTTAAACGTTGAGTTTTATAAGGGCACCACGGGATGACCAGCCCCTCCCCACCCAGCCCCACCCCTTCCATCCCCACCCAGCCCCTCCCCACCCTCCCCTCTCCACCCAGCCCCACTCCTCCCATTTTTGGATGCACGACAGACGGACACAATAGTCCCCTGTGGGCTGGTGTAACCAGGAGGTTCCTACCAGTATTAATTATAAGTGTTGTGGAATCACGCTCCAACACACGTGCTGTACTAGTAACGAATTGGCATGTTCTGTTTGCGTGACACCCTTTACTAAATGGCAGTGGCGGATGGTGGCGGGTTTAGCGACACATTAATATTTCCTCGATCTAACCCCCAAAAAAACCTCTTAATGATGTTGGTCGCGAAAGCCTACTACTTGTTAAGGGGCCGTCCATAAATGACGTCACGCACCTAGGGGGGGGGGGTGGTCAGACATTTGTGACGATGTGTGACGAGGAGGGGGGGGGGTGAGAAATGTGACGTCACATCAAAATGCGCAACTTTAAATAAATATAGACAAAACGTTCTACTTAATTAAATAGGCTTTTAATAAATGTGTTCTCCTAAAACACAGCGCCACATTAAATACGCACTACAATGGCAATAATTTAAAGCGATTTTAAGCATGTTTTTTTTTTTGGGGGGGGGTAGAGCTTTGTGACGTCATATTTGAGGGGGGGGGGTCTGACTTTTTGTGACGCCGTGTGACGAAGGGGGGGGGGGGGGGTCAAAAATCATCCAAAATCTCGTGACGTCATTTATGGACGGCCCCTAAAAGCTGCATATTTGCTGCTCGACAGCAAATAGAGTGCGCGCGGGCGCTCACGCAACTGTGGAGCGAGAGGGGGTGTGAAATACGCCGTGCTCCCGTTACTTAAAAGCTACCAGGAAGCTGCGAGGCCTTTGAGCGGTTTGTTTAGTCTTGGGAAAAACAAACAGTGTGGTGCAATCACTGCGAAAAACGATGTCTTTTAGTAGAATAGGTGTAAAGGATAGACGCAGTAAAGTCCACATAGGCGTCCTGGAAAATATTCAATGAAGGCCGTGTCAAGGCCATATAACCCCGGTGGTGGGCAGTGCGCGCAACAATAATCCATTTTCTTGGTTCTTTCGGTAAAGTCATGTAGAATGTAAATAATAAAATAATAACAAATTCAACATTAAATAATTCTCACGACGTTTCGGCCACAACGCAAGCAGCCGTCCTCAGGTGAAGAACAGGTCTGTCGAGAAGACAGAGTCTGAATGACACACCCCAGGCTTGGAGCGTCTATTTAAGCTGGGATGGAGGGGGAAGAGCGCCTTGACAAAATAATTTGCATATCAAGAGGAATTTGGCATATTTATGGGAAATGCAGTTATGCGATTAGTACTACATTTTTATTATTTTATTATTTCCAGTCTACGTGACGAATCCCTGCAGTCACGAAAGCTTTAAATCGAAATAAATCCATTGTCGATTAAAAACGGCTCCGCGATTAATTAGAAAGCTCGAACCAACAATTACCCGGCTGTAACCTGAATGTTGTTTTTTTATAATTTACGGGACACTACTTTATTGATATTCCTCGATTCCGCTTCTTGTACAAACTACTTAATTGTTTATCTTGTCCTACCACGATGTACCGTATACCTAACCAATGCGTAATTAAAGCATTTACAACAGAAGCTTGCCATCATTTGTTTTTAATAAAATCTTGAAACCTGGTAACAAGCTGTCCATTAACAAAAAAAACACTCCATTTACAGTATGCTATTAAAATAAACTCAAATCAAACAAATATCCTGCGGTTTTTTTTTTTGCATTCATTTAAATAACAAAAATCCCAAAAAGTGAGAAAACCTCGCATCGTGTTTTGTTTACACACAGAGCATTACTCGGGCCCCGACTCTCAGCTAAACCGTGTACGCTTTGAACTCGGTTCGAGCGTCGACGCGACCACGTGCGCCATTTTGATTCGACCACGTGCGCCATTTTGATTCGACCACGTGCGCCATTTATGCCCAAAGCACGTGCGTAACCGCCTAGGCCCGACCACAGGCTCCGCCATTACGCAAGATTCACTCGGAGCCCCGACGACCTACAATTAAAATTACACGTCTCTGTGAATTTACATATATATCGAACCCGTTTCGACGATACCGCGACCACAGCCGGGGTCACGACTAGGCCCGCGCGCCCCTTTCAGAAGCGCTACTCCTTCCAATATCAAGAAGCCACTGGGAGCATCTACGTACTCTTTAAAATCGAGCAGATTGAAAACTCATTTCTTCAGAACTGCTGTTTGTGTTACGTTTGTTGTCCTGGTTGGCTCCGTACGGCGCGAAATGTTCAACATACATAGGCAGCAACACCTACCAGGCCCCATGATGTTACATTTTTAACTTTCTACACACAGTCATTTCAATGGTCAAACTCAGCATTTTCGCTTGAACTAGATTTATGCTTACATAAGCCAGACGTGCGATTTGTGCCACTCTGCACATTGCCGAGAATATATATTACTCGGGATATAAACTTTGAATATCAAATGTCTGAACCCCCTGACCTCCCAGCGCGTCACATGACACAGACTGCGAGCCACGTGTCCGCCCACGTGTGGAGAAAGGAGCCGGCTAAGGAGAAAGCAACAAAGACAAAGATCCCCCGTATAGCCTTGACAGATTGTGGGGCCAAGTGCTGTTAGCGAGTAGCTCCAATGAAGACCAGCACGGCCACACGACGGAAATGGGTGGCTAACACCACGTCAGACCCCCCCCCCCCCTTGTCTCCCAATGGTGACGTTTACACATGGGGATGCCCAGGACCGGTTCGGATGTGGGGTGTAAAGTACGATGGGGTGAGTGGCCAGCAACGCGTCACTACCGCCTTTGTGTCCCGAGTGACGAATGTTTACACACCGCACCACGTATTCATTTGAGGTCGAGTCGACCCTGGAGAGGACCGGGACCGGTTCAGATCATCATTGGGTTCGTAGCGCAGTCCGCTAACCACTGCGCCACCGCTCCCGGCTTACATATTCCCAGAGCTAGCATCATAGGGGCCGTCCATAAATGACGTCACGCACCTGGGGGGGGGGGTCAGACATTTGTAACGATGTGTGACGAGGGGGGGGGTTGAGAAATGTGACGTCACATCAAAATGCGCAACTTTAAATACTGTAAATATAGACAACACGTTCTACTTAATTAAATAGACTTTTTAATAAATGTTTTCTCCGACAATATCAGAGTTCAGCGCCACATTAAATACGCACTACAATGACAATAGTTTAAAGCGATTTGAAGCTTGTTTTATTTTTTGGGGGGGAGGGGGACAGCTTTATGACGTCATATTTGCGGGGGGTCTGACTTTTTGTGACGAAGGGGGGGGGGTGTCAAAAATCGTCCAAAATCGCGTGACGTCATTTATGGATGGCCCCTTAGATCGCGTAAACACAAACGTGTCGTTATACACGCTGCCACCTGACACATACAACTAGCAAGCTTTATCACGTAAACAGAACATGCAAATTCCTTTCTAATACAGCACACCGGTGTGTTGGGAGAGGAAGCCCACTGCAACATTTACGATTCGTGCCACCGTGACGTTTCGCCAGGAAATTACAACCAGCATCATCAGGCGACAGCCAGAGTTGTGGATACATTATTCTCTTTTGGGACCTGACGGGACTAAAAGGGGATTTGGTTAGAGCAGTGGTTCTTAACCTTGGGGTTTGAGATGCCCTGTCTGGGGGTGTACGACATGGATAGATTTTTTTTAGAAGATAATTGAAACACAAATGAACCCTATGTATTTATTAACATAATTTTTTTTACGATTGGGAACCAAAGGAGTGCAAGGCTGCAGTAAAGGTTAAGAACCAATGGGTTAGGCACGGGTGGGGAACGTCCGGCCCGCGGGCCGTGTAAGGCCCCGCGAGATCATTTGGGTCTAGCCCTGCCAAGGCAACCCACAGGCGGGACTCGAAATTCAATAAATCTAGGAGCAAACCTGGAAAAGCAGTTGCGAGTAGCAGCAACATCATCAATAGCAGCTAACATCACACGCCTCGCCAAAGAGAAGCAGTTCTAGCCATCACATTAGGGGTGAGTTAATTAAACGTTTGACCAAATATAACGGACAAATTTTTAAGTTGATAATTTTGTATGGCCCGTGAATGATGTTATAAATATCCAAATGGCCCTTGGCAGAAAAAAGGTTCCCCACCCCTGGGCTAGAGGAAAGGGATATTGAAGGGGATTGGAGGTAGAAATACTAAATTGGAATGAGCGGGAAACGGAGGATGTTTGACAGGGGGAGATCTGTTGGGGAAAGTGTGAAGGTATGTGGCTGGAGGGAATGGTGGGTCAAGGAACCTTTGAGAATTGGGTTTGAGGGATATATAAGTGGAGGAGTGGGGAAATTCGAGAGCTCGGGACGTTTAGAGAGCAGGAAAGGAATTCTGTAAGGCCCCTGCGTGTCTCGTGCCTGAAGAAATAAAGACTCCTACTGCTGAAGACTGCCTGTGTCCAGGTGTCACCTACATTAGTATGCCGATTTCTTTCTGTCATGCAAGTCTATCACCCCCCCCTCCCCCCTCTGGGGACCAGGATTTAAACTGACAACCGTTCCAATTTATCTTCTTGGTTCTTTCGGTAAAGTCACGTAGAAGGGAAGTAATAAAATAATAAAAATAAAACATAAACATTAAATAATTCTCACGACGTTTCGGCCACAACGCAAGCAGCCGTCCTCAGGTGAAGAACAGGTCTGTCAGAAAGCTCATTCAGACGCTGTCTTTCCGACAGACCTGTTCTTCACCTGAGGACGGCTACTTGCGTTGTGGCCGAAACGTCGTGAGAATAATTTTATTGTTTTATTTTTATTATTTTATTACTTCCCTTCTACGTGACTTTACCGAAAGAACCAAGAAGACAAGTCCAGATATTGTGGCCAAGATTTAGCAAATTGTTTTATTTACATAGCATAGCATTTTTTATAGCAATATATTGAGGGGGGGCATTTTGAGCATATCTGAATATTGGGGGGGGTGAGGGCATGTGTGTGTGTGTCCCCCCCCCCCCAATATGATTATAATTACGGCCTTGGTGCCCAGGGTGATCACGTGTGCCCCTCGTGCAGGAGGAACGTGCGGAGTGCACGCGGTAGCGGTAGCGTTGCGAGGCAGTCGCCATCTTGGAGTCGCCGTGTGCCTATGCACGCCCGCAGCGCCAGTCGGCAAAGGTGCTTCAGAGGGCGCGCATTACCTGCAAAGACACAGATCACCCCTTTGGGTCAGAGGTCGCAACCGGGTACCCGATACCCGTACCCTACCCGATACCCGTCACTCATTTCGGGTAGGGTACGGGTAGGGAACGGGTACCCGTACCCGGCCGGGTACGAGTAGGCCGTGAGTCACTGGTGAGAAACCGTTTGTCACTCATTTCTGGTAGGGTACGGGTAGGGAACGGGTACCCGTACCTGGCCGGGTACGGGTACCCGTTCCCTACCCGAAATGAGTGACGGGTACGGGTAGGGTACGGGTACCCATTTGCGACCCTGGTGCGGCCAGGTACGGGTAAGGAATCAAAACCCGTTCGCGACCTCTGCTTTGGGTTTTTTTCAGTAATTTAGCTGTGACGGTTCCACATGAAGACGGAAGCTTGTGTTGCCTCCGAAACGTCGTGATTTAAAAAAAAATTCTAATTTTTTACCTACGTGACTTTACCGAAAAAACCAAAGAGTATTGACCCTCATTATGAGACCTCCTTTACCAGTGGCAAAATATAGCAATACGTTTTTTACCCTTTTATCTGGTACAAAAACTGACACCTTTATACAAGGGATCATGTTTGCAATAATCACAACACAAGCAGTAAAAATGCAAACAAAAAGAAACAACTCTGATGATGATAATGTATGCACTGTCCTTGAAGTTGATTGGTCCACACCCGAGACAGCTTTTCTTCGAGCCTAGTCTCACATGGTGTTGGACCAGATGACGCCAAAAGGCGCACAACTCAAAAACAGCGCACTATCAGAGTATTGAGAGCTCGGGGTAAGCATTTACACTATGAGACCTCCTTAACCAGTGGCAAAATATAGTAAAAGGTTTTTACCCTTTCATCTGGTACAAAAACTGACACCTTTATACAAGTATAGACCCTTGCAGTCACGAAAACTTCAAATCTAGAAATATCACCCCGTATAGCATTTGGGGCCGTCCATAAATGACGTCACGCACCTGGGGGGGGGTCAGACATTTGTGACGATGTGTGACGAGGGGGGGGGGGTAAGAAATGTGACGTCACATCAAAATGCGCAACTTTAAGTAAATATAGACAACACGTTCTACTTAATTAAATTGACTTTTAAATAAATGTTTTCTCCTACAACATCAGAGTGCAGCGCCACATTAAATACGCACTACAATGACAATAGTTTAAAGCGATTTGAAGCATATTTTATTTTGGGGGGGGGGGGCAGAGTTTTGTGACGTCATATTTGAGGGGGGGTCTAACTTTTTGTGACGCCGTGTGACGAAAGGGGGGGGGGGTCAAAAATCGTCCAAAATCGCGTGACGTCATTTATGGACGGCTCCTTTAACACTTTTGGGACAAGTGCTGTTGGCGAGCAGCACCTATGAAGGCCGGCACGGCACACGACCTGGGATGGGTGGCCAACACCACGCCCGGCCGCCTTTGTCACCCCGGCAGCGATGTCCACACACCGCACCGGGTACTCGTTTGAGGCTGAGTCGACATAGGGGAGGCCCAGGACCGGTTCAAATAAGTGCACGCACTTAGCGCCGGTCGACTGGCACTTTGTACGCCAGACACTTTAAAAAAATGCTGTAAACCTGGTCAGTTTGGGTGAACCCTCTCAGAATGAATGGGACGTGACCCAGAGGTCGCAAACGGGTTTTGATTCCTTACCCGTACCCAGCCGCACCAGGGTCGCAAATGGGTACCCGTACCCTACCCAATACCCGGCTACCCGTATCCGGCCGGGTATCGGGTAGGGTACGGGTACCCGATTGTGACCTCTGGGATGAAACCATGTTGCAGGCGCGGGTGGGTTGATTCTAGGAACTTGAATTGTGAGAAGAGACAAGACGTTGGGAAATGAATGACAAACGGTGACTGACCAGTGACTCACGGCCTACCCGTACCCGTACCCGGCCGCACCAGGGTATCGGGTAGGGTACGGGTACCCGGTTGCGACCTCTGACGTGACCCCAACCCCCTCCTCCTGCTCTTTCCGTGCAATCTTTTCCACATTTGTTGCCACTAGATGGCAGCAGCCCATAGAGCAATGTGGCGTGGCCCTGCAGATAACGCCTGCAGTTACACACGGCAGGATGCGTTAGTGCGATGGGCACGCATAATGCTGTTGATTACCCTATGAATTATAAAACCGGTAGTTAATATCCATTGAAATTTCTATGAATACATTAACCCCCCCCCCTTCACACCTGACTGGCTCGCACGTGACGACATCACACTCATCCCCCTCTATTTAAGACCGCAACAGGAGGATTTCTCAACAAATCTGGCTGTCGCCTGATGGTGCGAAACGTCGTACTTGAATTGTAAATGTGGTGGGTTAACTCTCCAACACACAACCGGTGCGCTGCACTAGTGACGAATTGGCCACGTTCTGTTTACGTGACAAACCTTACAAATTGGCTGTGTCGGATGCTGGCGGGGTTTACAGGCACATTTATATATTTACTTGATCTAACCCCCCCCCCCCCCCCAAAAAAATGCCTCTATGATGATGGAGTTACATTCCCTCTCGCGTGAAAAGTCAGCACCGGCCACGGGAGGGCATCGCCAGGTCACGACAATTGACGGGGTTTTGCTTCCAAAAACGAATGAGATCAAGTACTATTCTGGCGAATCGCCCGATGATGCTGGATGTAATTACCAGCGAAACGTCGTGCTACTCAAATTTGTAAACGTTGTAGATTTACTCTCCAACACACCGGTTGGCTGAAGTAGTAACTAATTGGCGTTTTGTTTACATGACAAATCCCTTGCTAATTGTCTGTGTCGGGTGGTGGAGGGTTACGACACATTTATACTTCCACGATCTAACCCAAAAAACATTATTATGGATGAGATAAAGTAGCCATTCTAGATTTGAAGCTTTCGTGACTGCAAGGATTCATACTCTTAGTTCTTTCGGTAAAGTCACGTAGGTAAAAAATGAAATTAAAATAAAACAATAAAAATCACGACGTTAGCTGCATGCAGCTAATCTGGCTGTGACGGTCCCACCTGATGACGGAGACTTGTGTTGCCTCCGAAACGTCGTGATTTTTATTGTTTTATTTTAATTTCATTTTTTACCTACGTGACTTTACCGAAAGAACTAAGAGTATATAAAGTAGCCAGCTCAGCCGTGGCTTGGGGCTTTGGGCTCAGCTCAAGGAAAATCTTGAGCGTTTTCTGGGACCGCACCTCGGGATGAGCTCCGTTACGATGCGAGAGATAAAAAAAAGTTCAACGGAACATCCAGACCCATGCTCCGAGCAAGCTCGAGCTTAAGCGTCGACTGGTTGCCGGCTCACTTAAGCCTGAGCCAAGCTGCGAACAACAACAACAAACACGGGCCTCGGTGTTAACTGTGGCACCTATTGAGTGGGGGGGCGGGGGCCTCACTCATGATGTAGTCGATCTCCGGCCACTGCTCGTTTTGCCGCAGCACGAGACGCAGCTTGGGGCAGACACGCACATGGTCCACGTAGTCCATCATGGCGAGCACCACTGGGCCCGCCCAGCGCCACAGCCATCGCAGCGTGATGACCTCGCAGAACTGCGTGTGTCGCCAATAAATACAGAGAGGCACAATGAAGAGTCATCGTGCCCGTCATCAATTTGGGTGGGTCCCGTGGAAAACAAAAGCGCAAAACAACGAAGCTGCGAAGACGACCACCATCGTCACCAGCAGCATCATCATCAGTGAATTCTTTATTATCATCGGCAGTATCCACAGTGACTTCTTTATCAGCAGCATCAGTGACTTCTTTTTTCTATCAGAAGCAAGCAGCAACAGCATCAATTGACTCCAGCATCAGCATCCCAACCGACTTCATTATCATCATCATCATCATCAGCGGCATCATTGACTTCACCCCGTGTCTGCGCGCATCATCTCAGCAAATAGCAACAGCATCAATTGACTCCACCATCGGCATCCCAACCGACTTCATTATCATCATCATCAGCGGTATCACTGACTTCACCCCGTGTCTGCACGCATCATCTCAGCAAATAGCAACAGCATCAATTGACTCCACCATCGGCATCCCAACCGACTTCATTATCATCATCATCAGCGGTATCACTGACTTCACCCCGTGTCTGCACGCATCATCTCGGCAAGCAGCAACTTACTCCACCATCGGCATCCTTAGCGACTCCCATTATCATCATCATCAGCAGCGGTGGCGGCATCAATGACTTCACCCCGTGTCCGCGCGCAACATCTCTTCAACGGAGAGGAGAGGGCCCCCCTGGCGGATCCCCGTACGTACGGGCACGTCCTCGATGACGGACGAGGTGAGCACCATCCTCGTGGGGTCGTCGTCGTCGCCGTGCGAGCACTCGAAGCACGAGCGCACGTCGCAGCCGTAGTTCATCAGCAGCCGCAGCGTCGCCTCGTCCTGCGCACAGCGCGGCACACGCACGCACGCAACAAGCCCGCAGCGATCGCGGCTACCCCGTTGCGTTGCACCAGGCGCACCGATTCGTAGGGTCGATGCCCGTTCGGCGTATTCCGAGGCTTCGTTTTCAACAACAGCGCGGTACGTGTGGGAATTCAGAGCAGCCAAAATGTACTCGAGACGCGTGACGTCGATTCTAAATGCGGAGGGGGGGAAAAACGGAGGACCCGGAAAATAATCCAGGCGACCAGAGAGAGAGAGATGCGCAAACTCCTAATATACAGCAGCAGGCATCAGGGGTCAGGATCGAACCCACGACCTTCTGTATACCAGGCGAGGTAGTTAACATCTCCTAGCCACCGTGATGATGATGAGAGACACACAAACTACAAATATACAGCAGCAGGCGTCAGGGTCGGGATCGAACCCACGACCTCCTGTACACCAGGCGAGGTAGTTAACATCTCCTAGCCACCGCTGGGGGGGGGTCGGGGGTGGTGGCCAGGTGGCATCTCGCCCGCGGCCTCCTTCCGGGGACGGCCCCTGTTTGTGCGCCGCGTGCCTTCAGGGCGTACTGCAGGGCGCTGGGGAAGCGCGTCGAGTTGAGCGTCGAGCGGAAGTTGACGTCAGCCCCGTGGCGCAGCAGCAGGCGCGCGAGGTCACGGTCGCCGCTCTGCACCGCGACCACCAGCGCGTTCAGAGGGTCCTGGTTAGGCAGCGCGCCCGCTACGTGCGGCAAAGACAGAGATCACCCCCCGCCGTGTCGCCCCGACAGCGAGCGGCGCCCACGAAGGCCGGCACCGCGGCACACGTGGGGGGGGGGGGGGGCCGGCGCCACGCCCGGCCGCCTTTGTCTCACCCTGCAGCAGCAGCCGCGCGCAGACGACGTCTCCGTTGGCGACGGCGAAGAAGAGGGCCGAGCGGCGGCCGTCCCCGTGCTCGCGAGCGGCGTGGGTCGCCAGCGCGGCGTTCACGTCGCAGCGGCCGCCCTCGAGCAGCAGCCGCAGGCACTCGGCGTGGCCGCCGTCCGCGGCCACGTGCACCGGGCTCACGCCGCTGGCCGCGATCGCTTGCGGCGACGTCGCCTCGGCCAGCTGCTGCAGCGCCCTGCGCCGCGCACAGCGGTGTGCGCGAGGGAGTCAGAGGCCGTGCGTGCGTGCGAGTAAACAGCACTTGCGCCAACAGGCTGCTAAAAGCCATATAGGGGATCTTTGCATGCGTGCGCATGGGGAGCGGTAGTGTAGCCACGAACCCAGCGACCCAAGTTCGATTCCCGCTCACAATAACGGTGCTGATAATTATTTCAATAGGTCCTGGGCCTCCCCAAGTTTAAAATCACCACTAAGGCGTGGTGCTGGCCAACCACCCCCCTGGTGTGCCGTACCAGCCTTAATAGATGCTCGCTAACAGCATTTGCCCCAACAGTCTGCTAAAGCTACACGGGGGATCTTTGTCTTCGTAGCGGTTAGCGCACTGCGCTGCGAACCCGGCGACCCGAGTTCGATTCCCGCTCATGGCCAACACCGGTGGCGATTATTATCATCTCCTGGCCACTTCACCGCCACCACCACATCGATGGCGGTGGCGGGTGGGTTTGTGGTGCCACAGCAACGGAGCAACTCCGCCGGCGCTGCAATCCCCACGCACCCCTCCACACGAACGCACGCACGCACGCACACCCCCACTAAACACACACACACCCCCACTAAACACACACACGCACCCACGTAGGCTCTTCGTGGGGGGGTCAACTGGTACCATGGGTTTTTACCCGAGGGGCCCCTAGCGGGGATGTCCCACGGTTTCCCAGTGCTAGGAGATTGGCCGACCCCGCCGAGGCCAAATTGCATTGCGGCCCCCCCCCCCCCCCCGTGAATTGGCTTAAAGTTGTATGGGCGCGACGAAGCTGACCGGGCTGACCGCAATGAGACACTCACAGCACGGGGGGATGGGGCCTCGAGGGCGAACACTCCACAAGCAGCGCGTAGGAGGAGGTGGGAGGGAAATCCCTGGACCGACTACAGCTGTGTATTCCGCGGGACGACCAACCCGACCAAACCGGTTGAGTCCGGGGTGGGGAGGACGGGGGCCTAGACAATGCATCGAGGCGTAATGGGAAGCAACGCTCCAGGTAGGGGCGGGGCATCGGTTTTAAATCGAAAAGTAGGCGCCCGATTGGCCGCACAGGGTAACACCACGTGACCCGGGATCTTTGGATTCCGAGGGCATAAAAGGAGGGAGCGGAAAGACGTTGAGGAGTTCTCCTCTAGCTGTTCAGCTGCCCGGTCTGTCTCCCAGTGTGTCCGTGCGACACCGTGAGTGCGTCTGTGAGGTGACAAGTAGAGTGAGGGTACACCCAGGGATTGAATAGGGATAGGCTAGGCCAGCGGTCGGGAACCTATGGCTCGCGAGCCATATATGGCTCTTTCGGTGACGGCATATGGCTCCCAGACAATTTTGAGTTGACAAAAATAATAATAAAAAATCAGTTTGGAACTGATTTTAAAATACTTGTGATATTGCTTAATAATACTGTGTCATTTTAAAGTAAACAGAAATTAGCTTTGAAGATAAATTTCACGGGTCACGCCTGCATGAAGCTCAACCTCACCACGTATGAACCAGACTACAAGGCCATCAGCAAAACCATGCAGCACCAGAAGTCGCATTAAAAGTAAGACATATTTAATTTATTATACGTTAAAAATACTATATGGCTCTCAATGCAATATATTTAGAAATATTTGGCTTTTATGGCTCTCCCAGTCAAAAAGGTTCCCGACCCCTGGGCTAGGCGCTGCTCGCTGAATATTTACTCCGGGCCGCACAGGGTTTTCTAAAGACGCGCCATTAATAAACTTCAGTTCAGCAGATCGGTGTAGTGTGATTCCTGTGTGTGTGGGTGAAGTTCGGCGTGGTGTCTGATTTTTGAGTGGAGCGACTGCATGCGGGGGGGGGGGGGGGGGCGTGAGAGAGCGAGCGCGGGACTGCAGGATGTCAGCGCGGGGTTGGTGTGTGAGGTGCGCAGCTATTACCATCTATACGACCGTCATTGTTTACGCGTGCTTGCGCTCGCGTGCGCGTTTACACAGTAGGAAATAGCCTCAACGGCGAGACGTGCACCCAGGTCACCTCCTTCTTTTCGTTTAACACCAGTAGGGGTGCATATTCATACAGCCCTGTCCCAGCCGTCCCCTTCCCGCGAGCAGTAGCATCTGTTTGCACAGCGGATTAAGGGGGCGCGTGCATATTCATACGACTATTTTCAGCGCTAGCCTTGGTGAGCGACGTGCGCCTGCACGGGCACGCGCGTGCACGCAGCCACCTCCGGGTTAGTGGCGGTGTACGTGTTGGAGTGTGTGTCAAGATCGGCCTCTGTGGAGGAGGCTCGTGAAGGACGCTACTGGGCAGTTGGAGGCAGTCGCCCTCCAACAACAACGGAGGGCGGAGGAGCGACGCTCACAACAACGAGCGTAGCGCCGGGTGGCTAAAGCACAGCAAGTTGGTACAGTAGGGGGCACAGGTGGTGCATCAGCCAGTCATCTCGGTCATCTCAGTCAGTCGACCCGTGGCACCTGCTGGGTCTGCCCCGTGACCTCCTGCCAGCGGGCGTTCGACACTTCACGTGGCCTCAAGGTGCACATGGCCTGGCACAAGCGTCGTGGTGACGTCACCGCCACTTAGTGGCGAATGGCGGTTGTTGTTGTTGTGGGATAACTCCGGGCGGTAGTGAGCCAGGCACTTAACCACGTCCCTCAGAGAGGGCTCTGGCGAGGGGGGTGCCGATCACCCGATCGGCGGGGGGCCCGGCGAGAAGTGGCCGAGGAGGAGGCGGGGAGTGGAGGTGGTGGGCGTCAGCCCCCGCAGATTCACGAGCGCAGTACGCACAGGTAGTGGCCGTGCCGCGCCGCGCTGTGGATGGGCAGGCGTCCCTCCATGCTGGGGGCGTTGGCGTCCGCTCCGTGCCGCAGCAGCAGCGCCACGCAGTCCGCGCTGCCGCCACGCGCCGCTTCGAACAGCGCCGACTCGCCGTCACAGGCACGCGCGCCGACGTCCCCGCCTGCACGCACACGCGATGCCCCCGACGCACGCACGCAAGTCTCCCCGAGTCTCCCCAAGTCTCCCCGACGTCCCCCCGACGTCTCCCCAAGTCTCCCCTAGTCTCCCCAAGTCTCCCCTCGTCTCCCCTCGTCTCCCCTAGTCTCCCCAAGTCTCCCCCAGTCTCCCCTAGTCTCCCCAAGTCTCCCCTAGTCTCCCCTAGTCTCCCCGAGTCTCCCCGAGTCTTCCCAAGTCTCCCCGAGTCTCCCCAAGTCTCCCCTAGTCTCCCCTAGTCTCCCCTAGTCTCCCCGAGTCTCCCCGAGTCTTCCCAAGTCTCCCCGAGTCTCCCCAACTCTCCCCTAGTCTCCCCCAGTCTCCCCAAGTCTCCCCTAGTCTCCCCAAGTCTCCCTAGTCTCCCCTAGTCTCCCCGAGTCTCCCCGAGTCTTCCCAAGTCTCCCCGAGTCTCCCCGACTCTCCCCTAGTCTCCCCTAGTCTCCCCAAGTCTCCCCTAGTCTCCCCAAGTCTCCCCTAGTCTCCCCAAGTCTCCCCTAGTCTCCCCTAGTCTCCCCTAGTCTCCCCGAGTCTCCCCGAGTCTTCCCAAGTCTCCCCGAGTCTCCCCAACTCTCCCCTAGTCTCCCCTAGTCTCCCCAAGTCTCCCCTAGTCTCCCCAAGTCTCCCCTAGTCTCCCCGAGTCTCCCCAAGTCTCCCCCAGTCTCCCCTAGTCTCCCCAAGTCTCCCCAACTCTCCCCTAGTCTCCCCTAGTCTCCCCAAGTCTCCCCTAGTCTCCCCTATTCTCCCCAACTCTCCCCAAGTCTCCACAACTCTCCCCAACTCTCCCCTAGTCTCCCCTAGTCTCCCCGACGTCTCCCCAACTCTCCCCAAGTCTCCCCTAGTCTCCCCAAGTCTCCCCTAGTCTCCCCAAGTCTCCCCAACTCTCCCCAAGTCTCCCCGACGCGGACGCAATCTCATCCGACGGCGTTGGCTATCGCTGCACGTGCCGGCCTGCGCTCCGGCACTGCGGAGGCAGCAGCGGGCGAGGCGTCAACTCCCCTCGACGGCGCCCACCTTTGTGGATGAGCTGCTCCAGCGCCTCGACCCTGCCGTGCAGCGCCGCGACGGCCAGCGGCGTCACGGCGAACGCGTCCCGCCGGTTGGGGTCGCCGCGGTGGTGCAGCAGCAGGGCCAGGATGTGCGAGCGGCCCCCGCGGGCGGCTTCGTGCACGGCCGTCCACCGCTTGGCGCACGCGAGGTTCGGGTCCGCGCCGTGCCGGAGCAGCAGCGAGGCCAGCTGGTGCGAGCCCGCGCGCACCGCTTGCGGAGGGCGGCGGATTACTGGTTTTCTTTTTAAATCCTTTATATTAAGTTCACTTGCTTGCTTAGGACCGTGCAAATCTTTTGGTCGTTTTTTAACCCACTTCCCGTGATCCAATCGAGCTGACATTTTCCACACAGACTCGTTGTGCGTGACAATTAATGTTCGTGAAAATTTTTTCCAACATTTTACACTTTTTAGGACAAAAATATAATATTTAATTACCAATTGCTTAATGGTGCAATGCAATCATCTGACCCATAGGTGGTAGCCATCTCAAGCCAGAGGACGAGAGGACTCTAGCCGCCACGCATATAAAGGATTTATAGTGAAAAACTTAGTTTTTACGGGTTATACTTATTAAATCGTTTATATTAAGTTCACTTGCTTGCTTGCTTGCGCGCTTACGACCGTGCAAATCTTTCGGTCGTTTTTAAACCCACTTCCTGTGATCCAATCGAGCTGACATTTTCCACACAGACTCGTTGTGCGTGACAATTAATGTTCGTGAAAAATTTTTTCCAAAATTTTACACTTTTTAGGACAAAAATATAATATTTAATTACCAATTGCTTAATGGTGCAATGCAATCATCTGACCCATAGGTGGTAGCCATCTCAAGCCAGAGGACGAGAGGACTCTAGCCGCCACGCATATAAAGGATTTATAGTGAAAAACTTTGTTTTTACGGGTTATACTTATTAAATCGTTTATATTTAGTTCACTTGCTTGCTTGCTTGCGCGCTTACGACCGTGCAAATCTTTCGGTCGTTTTTAAACCCACTTCCCGTGATCCAATCGAGCTGACATTTTGCACACAGACTCGTTGTGCGTAACAATTTATTTTCGTGAAAAAAAATTTCCAAAATTTTCCACTTTTTAGGAAAAAAAAGTCATATTTAATTTAAAATACCAATGTGATAAAAATGAAACTCTTACTCAAGAAAAACAGAAATGAATAATAAAATAAAACCGATGCCACGCATATAAAGGATTTATAGTGAAAAACTTTGTTTTTACGGGTTACTTTTTTATTATCATTATTGTTGTTACTCTTTGGTTCTTTCGGTAAAGGCACGTAGTTAGAAATAACTACGTGACTTTACCGACAGAACCAAAGCAAAAAGAAAATGAAATTGTCTGCGTTTCTCCCTTGTGATGGGACTTTGTAGGATGAACATTGAGATTTATAAGGGCACGGGGTGACCAATAGGGTCAAAATTGGTCTGTAATACGGTAGGGCACTGATAAGTGAGCAGACATCGTGCTGCTCGCTGCAGACTTCGCAGATGTCGCGATTCTCACCTGAAGACGGGCGCTTGTGTTGCGTTCGAAACGTCGTGATTTATTTTGTTTCTACCCACGTGACTTTACTGAAAGAACCAAAGAGTATGGATTCCTGAAGTCACGAAAGCTTAAAATCAAGATTATTGTTGTTGTTATTGTTATCATTGCATTCGCTTGCTTGCTTGAGAAAGCCATGCCGGGCGTAAAGACTGTTTCTAAACTCAACAATTTTTTACGTTACCAAGTAAGTCCCACTGAGCTACACAGCTATTTTTCAGAAGCGACCTGGCCACAAATGATAGCTCAACGAAGTGGCTTATCACGTGGACATTTATAGCAGCCAAATACTCTCAACGCCTGTTGAGTCTAAATGTGAACCCGGAGAAAAATCCACGCGACCACGGAGAAAGCATGCAATATATAGGCATCAGGGTCAGGATCAAGCCCACGACCTCCTGTATACCAGGCGAGGTAGTTAACATCTCCTCGCCACCGTGATGATGAGAGAGAGACACACAAACTTTAAATATACAGCAGCAGGCATCAGGGTCGGGATCGAACCCACGACCTCCTGTACACCAGGCGAGGTAGTTAACATCTCGCCACACAGTAGGGGTCTCCGATTGCTGCATTTCCCAATGAAGCCTTTGCAAGTGTTTTTTTATCATAACACTTACAATTAGTCAATTTCGTAGCGTAACTATCAGCACGCAGCTCTCTTATGGGTGACATCACCATATCCGTAACGGTCACCACTACAATGAACTTCTTTCGCGCCGTACGTAGCCAACCCTGGCCATCGGAGGTATTGACCAGGGTCGGCCTGCCGCGTCGAACCGCGGACCTCTGCGGCCTCACCAGCGAGCAGCGCGCTGTCCCCGCGGTCGTCGTGCCCGTCCGGCTGCACCCCGCGCTCCAGCAGGGCGCGGACGTTCCCCGCTCGCCCCGCCAGCACCGCCAGCATCAGCGCCGTCTCACCAGCGTGCGTGCACTGCTCCCGCACGCTGGGGTACGACGCTGTGCGAGGGTTAACGTGGACACGGTGAAGAGCCGACAATAAGTGCGTCGCAAGAGTCTGGTGAAGGTACCTCCAATTAGTACGGTTAGATACGTACGGTGCGAAAGAAGTTCAACATCCATATATACATATAACATAACATAATTCGTTGCTGAGACCCGTTCGTAAGTCGGAACACAATCATGCCTGGCCGCCTTTGTCTCCCCAGTGGTGATGTTTACACCAACACACAAGGCCTCATTTGAGGCTGAGTTGACCTAGAGGAGGCCCAGGACCGGTTCAGATGGTCGTGAGTGGGAGTCGAACTCGGGTCACCACTTCCGTAGCGCAGCGCGCTAACTGCTACACTACCACTCCCCCACAACAAAACAAAGATCCCCCGTATAGCCTGAACAGACTGTAGGGGCAAGTGCTGTTAACGAGCACCTGTGAAGGCCGGTACGGCACACGAGGGAGTGGGTAGCTAGCACCACGCCCGGCCGCCTTTGTCTCCCTAGTGGCGATGATTTACACACCATTCCAGGTACTCATTTGAGGCCGAGTCGACCTAGGAGAGGCCCAGGACTGGTTCAGATAATCGTCACCGGTGTTGGCCGTGAGCGGGAATCGAACTCGACACGAGTTGCGCAGCGCGCTAACCACTACACCACCGCTCCCCACTCCCCACACACTCACTTTCACACACAAACTCAGCTTTAATTCTAGATTTGAAGCTTTCGTGACTGCAAGGATTCATACTCTTAGGTTTGTTCGGTAAAGTCACGTAGGGAAAAATAAATAAATAATACAGGATAAATTATAAAAATAATAGAAGAAATAATAGGACAACAAATTTCACGTAGGTAAAAAATAAAATTATAAATTACTAAAAGTAATAATAGAAATAAAATATTAAATCACGATGTTTCGGAGGCAACACAAGTCTCCGTCATCAGGTGGGACCGTCACAGCTGAATCACATGATACAGTAAATTCAGCTGTGACGGTCCCACCTGATGACGGAGACTTGTGTTGCCTCCGAAACGTCGTGATTTATTATTTTATTTTATTTCTATTATTACTTTTAGTAATTTATTATTTTATTTTTTACCTACATGGTGACTTTACCGAAAAAACCTAAGCGTATTAAACTCAGCTTTCACACACACACTCAGTCCCAGCGCGATGCTGACTGATTACATCCAGTTTGCACGTGCGACTTCGCGTTTGAAGTCAATGTTCGTAAGTGCGGGTGCTCATAAGTGCGGGTGTTCGTACGTCCAGGGCCGCCTGTACACACGTCTGTGTATAGACGAAATTCTGGCTGTGGCCCTCTCTCCGTGTTACCGTCGAGCGTGACCTCCAGGATCTGCTCGAGCGGCTGCACGGACGCCTCGTGCAGTGGGAACCACCCTCGGTCGTCGGCCTCGTCGAATGCGGAGCGGAAACGCGACAGCTTCTGTAGCTCCAGCACGCCGCCTGGACACGGGCCGACCGCCTTTCAGACTCGCACCCGGGAGTTCATTATCTCAGCTGCTGAGGCCCAAAATTGAGCTCTTCGTTGCGTTACACGGACGCCAAAAGCGAAAGACCGTCAGAGTGGCGGTAGTTACATGGCATCGCAGTTATATAGAGTTCCATAGAGTTGCATAGAGCTCACAGAGTTGTACAGAGACTCATAGACTGCAGCCCAATACCGTTGGCAGTGGCAGCAGTGACAGGGCATTGCAGGGGGGAATATGCAAACGAACCAGAACTACAAACTACACGGACTTCCACCAGCACTGGCCCAGCTTTGTAAAGGCACAAAATGTCTTGTCGTCACCATTAAACATGGTGACATGGCCCAGCCGGAGTCGTAAAAGTTCCCAGTTCGAATCCGGCAGGCCACCCTGGTTAGAACTCTGTAAGACCCTCCTAAAATAAGAGTCGAGAGACTCAATAAGACCCTCCTGAAAATTGTAAATGTTGTGGATTTACTCTCCAACACACCGGTGTGCTGTACTAGTAACAAACTGGCATCTTCTGTTTATGTGACAAACCTTACTAATTGGCTGTGTCAGGTGGTGGTGGTTTTAATGACACATTTATATTTACGCAATCTAACTAAAAAAAACGTATATTATGGATAACACAGTCGCGAACTTCTTTCGCACCGTACGTAACCAACCGTGTTAATCAGAAGTGCGAAGGAAGGACAACAAACTCTATGTGAAGATGCACCACAGGGTTCTGCCACGTGTGCTTTCATTCACACCTAGAGGGCGCACTTTGCAGGCAGCCCTGCTCAGAATTGCATTCCCGCTATCTCTGTGGCCTCTTTCTGTGCTGCGAAGAAAACTCAATAAATGACAAACTGACCCGTCCTGATGCAGTTGATGATCCGACTGTGGGTGCTGCTCTCTTCTGGCCTGCAGGATGGAATCGGGAGCAGGTGTAAGGTGATGCGGTTTAGGTTTTGTGGCCATTGACTCTCCTCCCAGAGTCTTACTGCAACTGTGCACGCAATCTGATCCAAAGATACGAGGCAGGCAGACATCGTTTGTTGTAATTCATTCATTCAGACGCTGTCTCCCCGACAGACCTGGTTTTCACCTGAGGACGGCTGCTTGCGTTGTGGCCGAAACGTCGTGAGAATTATTTTATAATGTTTTATTTTTATTATTGTATTACTTCCCTTCTACTTGACTTTACCGAAAGAACCAAGAAGATGAATCAGTGCAGTCACGAAAGCTTTAAATCGAAATGTAATTCATTTTCATTTATCAATGTTGTGGAAAAACCCAACTGGTGAAGGATGGTTAAATAACCCTCACAGCCGACACGGCATGGGGCAGCCATCAATCATAGCGACGGATTGACATAGGCCTGTAAATTATTCATACAGATCTAAAATTGGCCTTACAATTCCAAAATTCTAGATTTTCAAAAATCCAAAAATGTAACACTATGATAGGTCGTTGTAAACTTATATTGAGCTTAAGTATGGTGATGTACACTACAGGAATAAATAACGTAAAATAACAAACAAAAATTAGGAAATAACACTGGTCAACAAAAAAAAAACATTTTTTTCTGGCCTGGACTTTTGCAGCTGTTTCAGGCTAATTTCAGGGTGCTGATTCCAAATCTGATCTCAGATTTGCTCTATCACATCTCATTTTTATGATATCGGCATACCCCATTTTCATTTATTTTACCCGAAATTAACTCTGTCATTATGATTGCAAGTTGTTGCGAGTCAGTGACTACTTTAGTGTTAAAATAGGGTGCTGTATTTTTAGGATAGTGTGTTTATAATATAATTTTATGTAGATATCCACATTTATTTAATATTTTTCTTCTACAGTTTTTATTTAAAATGCAATATTTGATATCTCAAAAACCTGATGTGATAGACAAAAACTGATGCCAGATTTGGAATCGGTACCCCCAAAATTACCTTAAAACCGTTTGAATACCTTATGCCAGAAAAAGTGTGTTGACCAGTGTAATATATCTGAAATCAGCCTGAAATGAAAAACGAAGTCCTACTATGGGCTATTGTAAACATTGCGGTTTATGATGATCCTGGTCTTGACTCACGAGTTATGTCCCTGTGAGCTGATAGGGCCATTGGTCTCCTCCTGGCTCAACTGCATCCTCACAAACTCCGCCAGGCCTTCTTCCTAAGTGTCCTGAAACGAGAAGACCACTCGGTGGCCTATCCGTGATGAAGGAACACAACGCGGTCGAATGGAAAGGCAATTACGTTTTCAATTAATCAAACGTTTCACTCTTAAATTTCGATTTAAAGCTTTCGTGACTTAGGGATTCATCTTCTTGGTTCTTTCGGTAAAGTCACGTAGAAGGAAAATAATAAAATAATAGAAATAAAACAATAAAATGCAATTCTCACGACGTTTCGGCCACAACGCAAGCAGCCGTCCTCAGGTGAAGAACAGGTCTGTCAGAAAGACAGACCTGTTCATTCAGACGATGTCTTTCCGACAGACCTGTTCTTTACCTGAGGACGGCTGCTTGCGTTGTGGCCGAAACGTCGTGAGAATTATTTTAATATGTTTTATTTTTATTATTTCCCTTCTACGTGACTTTACCGAAAGAACCAAGAAGACGTCTCACTCTTAATTACAATGAAACGCAAGAGTAAACGTGACCCAAAAATACGGATGAAAATGTATCCACTTGCTGTACTGCCATCCCTGCCCGGACAGATATGTTCATGACAAATCTACTCACCCACTCAATTATACTACTGGTCTCGTTTACCTCTGGGAGCCTCTGTGTCTTTGTTGAACTTCTTTCGCACCGTACGCAGCCAACCGTGCTAATCGGAGGTGCGGTGGAAGGACAACAGTGCATTGTCATCCACCCAGCATCTCTACTCTTTGGTTCTTTCGGTAAAGTCACGTAGGTGAAAAAATGAAATACAAATATTTAATAAAATAAAAATACTTATTTTTATTATAGTTTTTTTACCTACGTGACTTTACCGAAAAAACCAAAGAGTATGGATCCTTGCAGTCACGAAAACTTCAAACCCAGCATCTCATTCTTATTCGGACTGAAGCTGGCTTAATGTTGGGAGGCACAAATGTGATAATTGGCTGGGATATGTCAATGGTCAAGTGGCCTTGGGTGACTGAACCTCACAACAGAGGCTCCACAGAGGTGAGATCCTCTCTATGGGTACCAGATATAATTTGATCCGGCCAAGCACAGATCCATCTCTGGTGCCAAACTTGGCATTCTGTTGGCAGTGCTCAGCACAGCTGAGTGGCAGCCATGCTATCTTTAGCGAGTGAGCATTGGCGTCACAACATTTAGAAAGTGATCTACTGTACGACCACCCGAGACGCATAGAGACAGCGACGCGCTGAGAGGCATTTGCCAAATCCGAAAATTATTCCTCAAACTACTCTATTGGGATTAGACACACAGCAAGCAGCAATCATCGCCACCCTTACTGCCACACAAATGCCCATTTTATACAGGTCACGTGCTGAGCAACCTTATGCCCCACAGGGTCAGCTGCTACTTGGGGCTGGCCTTGGCTAAACCACACAGCAATCATCGTTCCCCTTACTGGCACGCAAATTTTGACTTAAAACCTTCGTGACTGCAGGAATTCACAGTCTTTGGTTCTTTCGGTAAAGTCACGTAGATAGAAAAATAATAATAAAGTGAATAGAAATGAAAGTAATAAAAATAATAAAATAAAACCACGACGTTTCGATTGCAACACAAGCGGTCGGCATCAGGAAAAGGGGTTTAGCCTCTAAAGGCAAACCGTTTATAGAGGTTTAAAATGGGCGTAGTCCAAGTGTCAGTAGCATGGGCGGGGTAGCTAATGTTAATGTTGTTGCCGGTGGAGGTTGCTGCTACTGGAGATGGTGGTAGTAGTGGGTAATGATGGAGGAGGTGGTGGGCTTCCACCAATAGAGGGCTACTGCTAGTGGTGATGGTAGTAGTCATAACTGTCTGTAATGTTTCCATTTTAGACCTGGCAGCCCTTTAATTGGAGGAAGCTCACCACCAGGACCATCGCTGCCCACTCCTACAATCACCACTAGCAGTAGCCCTCTATTGGTGGGAGCCCACTACCTCTACCATCATTACCCACTACTACCATCCAGAGGTCGCAAACGGGTTTTGATTCCTTACCCGTAACCGTACCCGGCCGCACCAGGGTCACAAACGGGTACCCGTACCCAGCCGTACCTGAACCCTACCCTTACCCGGCCGGGTACGGGTAGGGTACGGGTATTGGGTACCTGATTGCGACCTCTGGGATGAAGCCATGTTGCAGGCGTGGGTGGGTTGATTCGAGGAACTTGAATTGTGAGAAGAGACAAGACGTTGGGAAATGAGTGACAAAGAGTTACTCACCAGTGACTCACGGTCTACCCGTACCCGGCCGCACCAGGGTCACAAACGGGTACCCGTACCCGGCTGGGTACGGGTAGCCAGGTATCGGGTAGGGTACGGGTATCGGGTACCCAGTTGCGACCTCTGCTACCATCATCTCCAGTAGCAGCAACCTCCACCGTCAACAACATTAACATTAGCTGCCCCCCCCCATGCTACTGACACTTGGGCTACGCCCATTTAAAACCTCTATAAACAGTTTGCCTTTAGAGGCTAAACCCCTTTTACTGATGACGACCGCTTGTGTTGCGATCGAAACGTCGAAACGAGTGTCTAGGAGGGAAGTTCTATCAAAAACCGAACCAAGCATCGTTGTTAAGAGGCACGGACGCGCAGTCTCTACTTCTGCGACCGTCTGGAACGCTCCTCCTTCAGATATTGCGAAGCCACTGGGGCTGTGCAACTTGTAAATCGTCATCTAGATTGAAAAGTCTTGTCTCTCGAACGGCTTTTTGTGTTTAGTTTGTTATCTTCTTGGTTCTTTCGGTAAAGTCACGTAGAAGGAAAATAATAAAATAATAAAAATTAAACATAATAAAATAATTCTCACGACGTTTCGGCCACAACGCAAGCAGCCGTCTTCAGACCTGTTCTCCACCTGAGGACGGCTGCTTGCGTTGTGGCCGAAACGTCGTGAGAATTATTTTATTATGTTTTATTTTTATTATTTTCCTTCTACGTGACTTTACCGAAAGAACCAAGAAGATGAATCCCTGCAGTCACGAAAGCTTTAGATCGAAATTTAGTTTGTTGTCCTTCTCCCCCACCCCGCATCTCCCATTAGCACGGTGGACGACGTACGGTGCGAAAGAAGTTCAACATACGAACTGTTTCTCTATCCCTGTATCTGCCGGCTACTCCAGCACACAAACCTGTCAACCGCTTACCTGATTACAGACCAATTCAGACCGTGTTGGTCACCTCGTGCCCCTTATACAATCTCAACGTTCATCCTACAAAGTCACAAACAGACACAAATTATGTTACTAAACAAAAACAGTTTAATGCATTAATTTTGATCATTGGTGTCAATGATGCTACTTAGCATGCTTACTGCTGATGCTGCCTGCTTGCTTGATATGTGGATGCACACACTCATGTTGATTTGTGTTGCCCGCTGTGCACCTTATGGACCTGAAAACTCAATTTCCCTGCACAAGCATACGGGGTGAACCGTCTATGGGTTGACAGCTGTGAGTACTCAACAACTATCACAGAAACGCATGCGTACAGCTTGGGCAAGCGATGGCTCTGTCTCTTTGTGTGTCTGTCTGTGTGTGTCGCTGTATTTGTGTTAAACTGTGTTTGTGTGTGTTTGTCTGTGTCTGTGTGTGGCTGTGTGTGTTTGTCTGTGTTTGTCTGTGTATGTGTGTGTATCTGTGTGTGTGTCTGTGTGTCGCTGTATCTGTGTTTGTCTGTGTCTGTGTTTGTCTGTGTCTGTGTTTGTCTGTGTCTGTCTCTGTCTGTGTCTGTGTGTGTGTCTGTGTGTGTCTGTGTGTGTTTGTCTGTGTTTGTGTGTGTGTCTGTGTGTGTGTCTGTGTCGCTGTATCTGTTTGTCTGTGTCTGTGTGTGTGTCTCTGTGTCTGTCTGTGTGTGTGTGTGTTTGTCTGTGTCTGTGTGTGTGTCGCTGTATCTGTGTTTGTCTGTGTGTGTCTCTGTGTGTGTCTGTGTGTGTGTCTCTGCGTGTCTGTGTGTGTGTATGTGTGTCGCTGTATCTGTGTTTTTCTGTGTCTGTGTGTGTCTCTGTGTGTCTGTGTGTCGCTGAAACTGTGTTTATCTGTGTCTGTCTGTGTGTCGCTGTATCTGTGTTTGTGTGTGTCGCTGTGTCTGTGTGTGTCTGTGTGTCTGCGTGTGTGTCTCTGTGTGTCTCTGTGTGTGTCTGTGTGTCGCTGTGTGTCGCTGTGTGTGTGTGTCTCTGTGTGTCGCTGAAACTGTGTTTATCTGTGTCTGTCTGTGTCGCTGTATGTGTTTGTGTGTGTCGCTGTGTCTGTGTGTCGCTGTGTGTGTGTCTGTGTGTCGCTGTGTCTGTGTTTGTCTGTGTCTGTCTGTGTGTGTCTCTGTGTGTCTGTGTCTGTCTGTATGTGTGTCGTTGTATCTGTGTTTGGCTGTGTCTGTGTGTGTGTCTCTGTGTTTCACTGTGTTGATCATCGTTACTCAACTACAGAATATTATTTGGCTTTAATGATCGATTTAAAGACAATGTTGCATGCAACCTCCTCCAACTAAAACGTTGAACAACGACTTACCGCCAGTAAAGACCATTCAGGTGAAAGCTTTGAAAGTTTAACAAGGATCAAGAAGACGACGTCTGGGTCTCTATGGCAGTCTCTGTCTCTCTCTGCGTCTCCAGCCACGCGTCTGTGTCTCTCTCTGTGTCTGTCTCTGTTTCACTGTGTCTCTCTGTGTCTGGTGTCTCTTTGTGTCTCTCTCTGTGTCTGTCTCTGTCTCTCTGTGTTTATCTGTGTTTCACTGTGTCTCTGTGTGTCTCTTTGTGTGTCTGTCTCTGTGTCTGTATCTGTGTTTCACTGTGTTTCTGTGTGTCTCTGGTGTTTATGTGTATCTGTGTGTCTCTCTGTGTTTCACTGTATCTGTGTCTCTGGTGTCTATGTGTCTGTATATGTGTTTCACTGTGTCTATGTGTGTGTCTCTGTGTGTCTCTCTGTGTTTCACTGTGTCTCTGTATGTCTCTGTGTTTCACTGTGTCTCTGTATGTGCCTCTGTGTGTCTCTGGTGTCTATGTGTCTTTATCTGTGTTTGTGTTTCACTGTCTCTGTGTGTGTCTCTGTGTGTATCTCTGTGTTTCACTGTGTCTCTGTGTGTCTCTGGTGTCTATGTCTCTGTGTGTCTGTATCTGTGTTTCACTGTGTCTATGTGTGTGTCTCTGTGTTTCACTGTGTCTCTGTGTGTCTCTCTGTGTGTCTGTATCTGTGTTTCACTGTGTCTCTCTGTGTGTCTCTCTGTGTTTCACTGTGTCTCTGTGTCTCTCTGTGTGTCTGTATCTGTGTTTCACTGTGTCTCTGTGTGTGTCTCTCTGTGTTTCACTGTGTCTCTGTGTGTGTCTCTCTGTGTTTCACTGTGTCTCTCTGTGTGTCTCTCTGTTACACTGTGTCTCTGTGTGTGTCTCTGTGTGTCTCTCTGTGTTTCACTGTGTCTCTGTGTGTGTCTCTGGTGTCTATGTGTCTCTGTGTGTCTGTATCTGTGTTTCACTGTGTCTCTGTGTGTGTCTCTCTGTGTTTCACTGTGTCTCTGTGTGTGTCTCTGTGTCTCTCTGTGTTTCACTGTGTCTCTGTGTGTGTCTCTGGTGTCTATGTGTCTCTGTGTGTCTGTATCTGTGTTTCACTGTGTCTCTGTGTGTGTCTCTCTGTGTTTCACTGTGTCTCTGTGTGTGTCTCTGTGTCTCTCTGTGTTTCACTGTGTCTATGTGTGTGTCTCTGGTGTCTATTTCTCTGTGTCTGTCTCTGTCTATCTCCCTGTCCACACTGTGCATGCTAAAGTTGGGGGACCACGGCAAATTTCTATTTTTACTCGACTGAGGGACCGTGGCTATGTGCACTGAACCGGTAACCGAATACACGCCCTGACAGTTTTTTCGTTCCGGAGCGATTTTTTAGTTTTGTAAATTTTTTTGGTTACTTATGTGGTTAACGGTGTGTGTGCGGATGATGAGATTTGAGAAATGCTTGTGTTTTTTTGCGGAGAGACAGATGGATATGTGACACGTTGCTATGAATGTTGACATTACGTGGCTTAGTGTGTGTGTTGAACTTCTTTCGCACCGTACGTAGCCAACCGAGCTAATCGGAGGTGCGGGGGAAGAACGACTAATTCTAGATTTGGAGCTTTCGTGACTGCAAGGATTCGTACTGTTTTTTTCGGTAAAGTCACGTAGGTAAAAACACATAAATAATAAAAATAATATAAATAAAATAATAAATCAAAAAGCTCTAACAGATAGGTGAAATTCCTCCCCGTAGAGGGTGTTAATTCTAGATTTGAAGCTTTCGTGACTGCAAGGATTCATACTCTTAGGTTTTTTCGGTAAAGTCACGTAGGTAAAAACACATAAATAATAAAAATAATATAAATAAAATAATAAATCAAAAAGCTCTAACAGATAGGTGAAATTCCTCCCCGTAGAGGGTGTTTATTCTAGATTTGAAGCTTTCGTGACTGCAATGATTCATACTCTTGGGTTTTTTCGGTAAAGTCACGTAGGGGAAATTAATAAATAATAAAAGATTCATTTTTTCAATAATAGAAGAATAATAGGACAACAAACTTTACATGAAAAGCCCTACGAATGAGTTTTCAATCTACAATTGAGTGGCAGTCAAAGGCGGTGTATTGCAACTGTTTAATATACTTCAGAATGTTAAATGTTCCTTTTCGTGACACTGTATATAATTTCTATTTTAAAAAAACACAGCACATTGGAAGCAATATCAAGAGCTTATTTTATTTTAAATTTCAGTTTTTTTTATTGACAGAAAATTGTATTGTCATTATTAAATCCGGTCAAAGTTTTCGCTTTTAATAAATCCTTTAAAAAAATTGTGTTACGCTCACGCTGTAAACATCGTCTCACACTCCTAGAAAAAAAAAAAACATCTCCCGTCACGTTAGAAATAACACAAGCTTAAATTAGGACACTTCAAACACGAGTACAACAATAACACAGACACACACTTGCATATTCCATGTATACAACTCTATTTCCCCTTCCCTAGTGCAGTGATGGATTCTTGTCAATCCGTTGTACAGATAAAATGGGGGGGGGGGGGGGGGCATCTGGGTGAGCCCCCCCCCCCCTCCAGCCTCTACATTCTAATCAAGTCAGAAAATGTTTATGCAAAATTATCTTCAAAGTTCGCCAGTTTTTTTTTTATAATTTGACCGGTGCACGGTTGGCCACGTAGAAGTTCAGCGTACGGTAACAAACAGCGTGCACTCGGTCACGAGAATCGCCACACCTACAGGCTCTGCCTTTTAAGCGTGTCAACCCTTTCTAGATTTGAAGTTTTCATGACTGCAAGGATCCATTCTCTTTGGTTCTTTCGGTAAAGTCACGTGGGTGATTGCTTGTGTTGCAATCGAAAGGTCGTGATTTATTTATTTCAATTTTTTTTCACCTACGTGACTTTACCGAAAGAACCAAAGAGTACGTGTCAAACCTGCCCATGACGAGAAAACTCACGACAGATTTTTGAGTAAACATGAAACATCAACAGGTCAACGTTGGGCCAAAGGTTCCAACCGAGCTCGGACAAGGAGACCACAAATTCAGTTCTTCAGGAACCATTCTAGATTTGAAGTTTTTTTTTGCCCACTTCAGCAATTGTTTATTGCTGTGGTTGTTTCCACCTGATGACGGGCACTTGTGTTGCGCCCGAAACGTCGTGATTTAATTTATTTTGTAGCTACGTGACTTTACCGAAAGAACCAGAGAGTATCTTCAGGAACCGCTGGTGGTTTTTGTTGCCAGAAACCAAACGCGTACAAATATAAACCATTGGTGTTAGACACCGTGCGAAATTTTGTAATAAAATTTAGCAAATGGGCATCCGAGTATTTCCTTATATCTATACGGTACACAGAGGGCGATCGAGAGACCTTGGGCAAAACGCGCGGTAAACGCAAGCAGACCACATCGTTACTCGTTCCGTTTTAAAGTTTGACAATAATTCTGTTGTGCCCCCACAGTGGCTAGGAGATGTTAACTACTTCGCCAGGTATGCAGGAGGTCGTGGGTTTGATACCCGACCCTAACGCCCGTATATTTAGAGTTTGCGGTGTCTCTCTCCCCGTGGTCGCGTGGATTTTTCTCCGGGTCCTCCGGTTTTTCTCTCCACATTTAGAATCAACAGCGTGCCTTTAGAGTATGTTGATGCTCTACATTTCCACGTGATGATAATCCACTTCGTTGAGCTACTATTTGTGGCCAGGTCGCTTCTGAAAAAAAAGCTAAATAGCTCAGTGAGCCCTTGCCTGGCGAAATAAAAAAAACAGTTTTAATCACCCCTCTTTAAACAAGTTCACACCGCAGCACTGCCATTCGCTACTTGTTGTAACGTCTCTTCAAGAGCCACTATGGCCAAGCCAGTCGGAGCATTCGTCACCGGCCCGCTTCGATGGGAGTTCACAAGTTCCGACTGTAATAATAGGGTTTTTTTCTGGCAACAAAACTGAAACCTTTTAACAAGGATTCATGTCTGCATTAACCACAATAATTGCAGTCAAAATGCAAACAAAAAACACACTGATAATACATGCATTGTCCTTGAAACTGATTGGTCCACACCAGAGACAGCTTTCTTTTGAGCCTCGACCCAATTGGTGCTCGACCAGAGGACGTCAAAAGGCGTACAGCTCAAAGACAATGCACTATCAAAGTAATGAGGGCTCGGGGTGAACATCTACACCTACTGGCAAAGGAGGTCTAATGAATTCTAGATTTGAAGCTTTCGTGACTGCAAGTATTCATATTCTTAGGTTTTTTTACCTACGTGACTTTACCGAAAAAACTTAAGAATAGGTCTAATGAAGTTCCGACTGCTTTCTCGTTACGAGCCAGTTTGTCACGAGACAAACTTTCAAGTAACCCGCGGCCTACAAATCGAGATGTCATTCGTGCATCCTGTACGGTTAACCCTCGATCATCTGCAGTTGATGGATGTCGAGCGGGACATGGGCCTGATCAACCAAAAACACAATGGATTATTCAAAGCTCGCGTCAATTATTGTTTCAAAGACGACGGGTTTGCCTGCCTGTCTGCCAGTGACGTGGCAGCAGCTTAGATCATCTTACACAAAGATCTGGGCTGGCACGAATGAGCTGCTGGCACTTTGTAAACATTGCACCACACCACGGAAGTCTGTTTTAACATTTTGCGTAAGCACGTTACATACGCGTCTAAAGCGTTTTGACTACGACGTGCCGTGCATGTGTTTGTTTTTTAAGTGCCCGGTTATCCGGCCCGCACGTACGCCCGCGATCACGTGGGCACCAGGCCACTGACCCTCGACGAGTGAGGAGAATGTATTAATTCTAGATTTGAAGCTTTCGTGACTGCAAGGATTCATACTCTTAGTTCTTTCGGTAAAGTCACGTAGGTAAAAAATGAAAGAAAAAGTAAAAAAAAAATATTTTATTATTTTATTTTTATAAATTTTTATTTTATTTTTTACCCACGTGACTTTACCGAAAGAAATAAAAATAAAAATTATTTTATTTTTTTATTTTTTATGAATTTTAATTTCATTTTTTACCTACGTGACTTTACCGAAAGAAATGAAATGAAAATTAATAAAATTATTTAATTACTTTATTTTTATTAATTTTCATTTAATTTTTTTCCTACGTGACTTTACCGAAAGAACTAAGAGTATGAGGAGAATGTAATTGAACAGGGAGTGGACGCTACGAGGAGCGAATGAGCAGGATTGAATCCACAGAGTGGATAATCTGCCCGCGGGTAAATCGAGAGCGAACTGTAACCACGGGTAACTCGAGATGTGATACGTTGCCAAAACCAAAAACTTTCTTTTAATTATTTCATTGTTATTTTTTTCAATCGCCGTGACTTTACCGAAAGAACCATAGAATAAGAGCCATTTTGTTTCGAATTCGGTAAAAAAAAAACTCAATATTTCAAGAGCCGCAATGCATGGGACCCACGGTAAACACCGAGACATTTCGTGTTCAGCTGGAAGATCCCGACGAGCCGTGGAGCTCTGATTCACACCTGTCCAACCCAAGCTGGGGTTGGCACTGGTGAAAATGAAAGCAGCGAACTTGGAACTGTTTTTATCCCAAATTAAAATTCCAAACAGAGATCCCACCGCTCCATCGTCATCATGGCCATCAACATCTTTCCTCTGCAATCAGTAAACTAAGAACCACCTCGTAAGACCGGAACATTTTGTTCAGAACTTGTGGTTGTCCTGTAGATGTCCTGGTCGCCGTCATAGGAATGTGGAATATTCTTCAATTGCTCGGCAAAAGAAAAGTTCAGGTGAGTTAATACTCGATGCTCGCGGGAGCAAACGGAACACCACTCACTTCTGTGGCGCTGTCATTCAAGATGGAGTCGGCGGTCATGTGACTCGTAACACACGTTGCTGATGGGCTGTCACCTCGAAAGAAACCTCACACGTGATTCGTTCTGACCAATAGTAGACAGGGTACGATCAGCAGCTAATGCAATGCTCATAGGTCGAAACGGGTCACAGGTAAAACAGGGGTCCAATGTGAAGAGTCGGTCGAAGATTAAACAGAGATTTTAAGCGCAGCCCCAATTTGGGGAAAACCTGAAGTCGGAGGTGAAACCCAAGTCACAAATTCAGATCGGTGACTAAGCCCTGTGGGGTCAAAGGCTAAACGGAAGCCGGGGGTGACAGAGAGGTCAAAGGTGAGGCAGAGATAATGGGTGAAGCAGAGGTCGGGGGTGAGGCAGATTCAGTGGCCTTTATTTGCAGCCACAGGTCTCCGAGGGACTGGCGGAAGTGATCGTCCACCGAGCCTGCGATGGAAGTCGCCCTCGCCATTGGGGCTGTGAGGTCGACAGCAGGAGGAGATGACTGAGGAGCAGGAGGAGACTGAGGAGGAGACTGAGGAGGAGGAGGAAGAGGCAGCGCCCGCTGCCACCCTGGCCTCCCCACTCCTCCTGGTCGCCCTTCATGTTCGTCCATGCCGCCATTCCGTGGTGCTGCTGTGAGACCCAAAAACACATGATAATTAAAATGATCATTATCATCATCGTCATGATCATCATCGTCATCGTCGTCATCATCACAAATGACATAGGTTGAAAGAATGGTATTCAGTTGAAGAACGGTCATTGAATTACCTCAATAGAGAAAAGGCTCCCTAGGCCTGGGTTAGGGCAAGAGCTGTCCCATGGACCTGTCCGGAGATGCCGCTCAAAGGGATCTCGCGTGAAAAACAAAAAAAGCCGACGGGCGGTGAGGTGAGCGACGCAGCAGATCCAGGTGCCGTACTCACTCGGTGTGCCGCCGGGCGCCGGCTGGGCGCGTCGCGATCGCGAGTCGCGACTTGATGCCGGAGCGCACACGATCACCGACGGGCGAGCCTGTGGGTACACGCACAGTCACAGAGTGAGCGAAGTGCACGCAAGGAACGGCTCCCGAGCAGGGCCGGGCTCATAAGTCACATGGTCAATCCACTGCTGAAGGTCCCCCCCCCCCCCCCCCCCCCCCCAAATCCGTCACCGCCGCCGCCTCTCGCCCAGCCTGCACCGTCCACCTCGGCCCTGCGCGCAAACAGAGAGCTGGGCTATCTGATTATTTAAACTGATGATTGCTCTACAAATTATGTTGAACTTCTTTCGCACCGTACGTAGCCAACCGTGCTAATCGGAGGTGCGGGGGAAGGACAACAAGCTAGACACAAAAAGCATTTCTCAAGAAATGAGTTTTTCAATCTCGATTGAAACGTGCATAGCTCCAGTGGTTTCCTAATAGGTTTCAATACTCGATCAATCGGTTAACATTGGGGGTAAAAAATTTGCCTCGCTTCTGTTCCCAACATGTGCCGCTGGACGGGAGATTATCGGCGCGGCATCATCAGCCGTGTCGAGCAGGGCACAGCGTTGTGGAGGTTTCCCGCCTTCAAGAGGTAGGGTGTGGGTGTGGCCCCGAGTCGATCGTATGTTTTCGTAAAATGAGCCCAATTAATTGACTAATCATCCTGATCTCAAGCATCACTGCAGATGCGCCGCAAATTCCTAAGTTCTTGACTTTTAGTTGGAGCAAGCCCTCAACCCTAACCGCCCTCCTATTCCACCCGGCGAGTCTGCGGTCGCCACCCGCGCGATAAAGTAAAACTCAGAACCAACGCAGGGCCCTGAATCGTCAAAATCCAATTCACGTTTTTTTTATTTTACCAGATAAGGCCCGCACAGCTAAATCGCTTTTTTTCATAAGCGACCTGGCCCAAAATGATAGCTCAACGAAGTGAATTATCATTTGGAAATGTATAGCAGCCAAATACTCTGAACGCATGTTTCTAAATGTTGCAGGGAATAACCGAAGGTCCAGGAGAAAAATCCACGTGACAATGGGGACAGAAACACATAAACTCCAAATATATAGGCGTTAGAGTCGTAATCGAACCCACGACCTCCTTCATACCAGGCGACGTAGTTCACATCTCGCTTAATCATATGGGAACACAAGTGACAAGTCTCAAAACTAAGTGGGGATTTCCAGGGCAAAAAAATGTTACTCGTGAATTCATTTCATAAACCCATTACCTGCTGCTGCTGCAGGATGCGTGACGCAACAGTAGCGGTGCCAATCGTTTGCGAGGACTCTGGGCTGCCCACGGGTATCCGTGGAGGTGCCGGTAGTGGCGGTGGCGGCAGCGGAGGGTGGCGGAGCGCGAAAGCCGAGAGATCACCGTAGCCTTCCGAATTGTTCAACACCCAGACGTGGCTAAATCAACAACAGCAGCAACAACAGCAGCAGCAAGGGATTAAGCGATTTCGCGGTATTTAAAGTTGATTTCGCTTAATCAGATGGGAAAACAAGTGGCGAAGCATGAGCATTATTTGCTGGGATGATCTGGGTCACCAAAATGATGAAGCCAGGAATATAAGGGCAACAATGAACAAAATGTAAATCAGTCCGCAGCTGCAAGGGATTGTGGGAAGCTCACTTACTGCATCGGAACGAGCGATGGCGAGGCTGAGCCAGGTCGTGACCTCTTGACGAACCCCCATCCACCACCACCACCATTATCGTCGTCGTCATCGTCGTCGTCGTCATCGTCGTTGCAGTCGTCGCTGTCCCAGCGCGGGCGGGGGAACCGGAAGCAGCGTCTGCGTTGGACCCTCGGGGGGCCGTGCGGTGGCGGTGGCGGCGGTGGCGGAGGAGGAGGTGACAAGGGGGTGTGGAGCGGAAGAGGAAATGGGGGGAAGACGATAGGTGGAGGGGTCGACGCCTTGGAGGTGATGCCTAGAGTGAGGCACGACAACAATGCACACGCGGTCGTCAAATCGCCATCGGTGCACGTAGTTGTTCGCACCGTTACCGTAGCGCAGTGATCTTCACTAACTTTCAGGGTTTGGGGCGGGGGGGGCACTTTTTCCGATAAGATATCATCAGCGTGAGGGCCGCCACACAATTGAAACCATGTGGGTTTGACAGCAGCACGATGATGATGATGATGGGCGGTATTTTCACGTTTGGTTGTATTGTCGGGGCCGTACGTCAGGGGCTGCACTAAAGGCCACCGGGGGCCGCCAGGGATCCGTGGGGGCCTTGCAATGAAAACACTGCCTGTAGCACGAGGCCACCACGAAGGCGCTAAATCGTGGAAACATTTAGAGTGCCGAAAATCACACATGCAAGCCAGATTTAGGAAAGGTTTCTCTACCATCGACCACACATTCTTCCTATCAATTTCCGGAAAGGATCAGTGAATATCAATTACAATGTTGCCGATCTATTAATTATGGACAACCAAAGGACATTTTGTCCTTGTGAAAATTGGCACACACACACACATCTAAGCTCTCACAGACCACGGCCTATACAAAATTAATTGAAATTTGAATTATAAAAATGTTTTAGAAAATGAAAGAGTTACATTCATCTTCTTGGTTCTTTCGGTAAAGTCACGTAGAAGGGAAATAATAAAATAACAAAAATAAAACATAATTAAATATAATTCTCACAACGTTTCGGCCACAACGCAAGCAGCCGTCCTCAGGTGAAGAACAGGGCTGTCGGAAAGACAGCGTCTGAATGAACACCACCAGGCTTGGCAGCGTACATTTAAGCAGGGGTTAGAGGAGGAGAGCGCCTTGACAAAGGAATTTACATATCGAGAGAGGAATTTAGCATATTTATGGAAAATGCAGATATGGGATTAGTCACTGCAATGTAGAGTTACATTGTTTAGATATATATCGTCGTCATCGTTCATGCAAATCACATCTCTCGGAACCACAGGCAATGCTGGGCCAGTGCAACCAACAATTGGCCAAGCTCTGCAGTCCTCTATATACAAAGATGGTTTCGCCAATTAATTTGTGTTTAGATATGTTATGTCTATTGGTCTCTATGCACGTCTGCGGGTCTCTATGCAAGGCTATATGAGTTTCTATATGGGTCTATGGGTCTCTATGTAAGTCTGTGGGTTGACGTGTACAGATTTTGTTGGTCTCAGAGAGCCGATGTAAATCCATGGGTCTCTTTGTAAGCATATGGATCTATAGGCAAATACATAGGTCTCTGTGTAAGTCTGCGGCTTTCTCTGTGTATATATTTTGTCTATGTCATCTCGGGGTCGTTGTGTAAGTCTGAAGGTCTCTATATAAGTCTATGTATATCTATGTAACGATATGTAATTCAATGTAAGTACTGTATCTGTAAGTTTGTGAGTCTCGGATTAGCATGGTTGTTACGGTTCAACATACGTACATATATCGGTCTCAATGTAATTCTATGCGTCTGTAGCATAACGTGCATCTGTGGAATATATATATACACAATAGAACTCCTCTAAACGACCACCCCTGTTAACGACTCATCGCTTAACGACGGGCCTCCATAGAGCCCATTGTGTAGTGTATAGTGTAGTGTATAGTAGTGTAGTGTATAGTCGTGTATAGTAGTGTAGTGTATAGTAGTGTAGTGTATAGTGTAGTGTATAGTAGTGTAGTGTATAGTGTAATGTATAGTGTAGTGTATAGTAGTGTAGTGTATAGTGTAGTGTATAGTGTAGTGTATAGTAGTGTGGTGTATAGTGTAGTGTATAGTAGTGTAGTGTATAGTGTAGTGTATAGCAGTGTATAGTGTAGTGGATAGTAGTGGTGTATAGTGTAGTGTATAGTAGTGTAGTATATAGTCGTGTAGTGTATAGTAGTGTAGTGTATAGTGTAGTGTATAGTAGTGTAGTGTATAGTGTAGTGTATAGTAGTGTAGTGTATAGTGTAGTGTATAGTAGTGTAGTGTATAGTGTAGTGTATAGTGTAGTGTATAGTAGTGTAGTGTATAGTGTAGTGTATAGTAGTGTAGTGTATAGTGTAGTGTATAGTAGTGTAGAGTAGAACCCCTGTTAACGACCATTCCCCTGTTAACGACTAATCACTTAACGACGGGCTGTTGTAGGTACAGTAAATATAAATTACTTATTTGATTAACCAAATGTATTTCATATTATGTCTTTATAACGTTGTTTGTATCTTTATCATTGTTTAAATGTTATCAAGTAAGTTTTTTGGGTGAAAAAGGGTAACTTTTGATGCTGCCGGAACGAATTAAGCCTTTAAAATGTATTTCCTAGACTCGCTTAATAACCAAAAATCACTTAACGACCGGTTTCATGGAACCAATCACCGTCGTTAAGAGGGGTTCTACTGTATACAAACCGAAGTAATCCATACCGGAATAAATACTTTTACAATATCCCTCCTTCCCATATTTGTCTCTCTGCAATGTTTCGTCGACACATCCCATCAGCCGCGCGGTCTTCTAGGAGTGAACTTTTTCATGAGCATTGGTTGAATACGAGAACATCTCCGCACCGATAATTGGTTTTTTACCCTTCCATCTGGCAACAAAACTGACACCTTTTTTTGACAAGGAGTCATGTTTGCATAGACCACAATACCTGCAGTCATAATGCAAACAAAAACATAACTTTGATAATGTGCACTGTCCTTGGTCATTATCAGAGTTATAATGTGCACAAAAAACACAACTCTGATAATGTGCACTATCCTTCAAGGACATTATCAGAGTTATAATGTGCACAAAAAACATAACTATGATAATGTGCACTGTCCTTCAAGGACATTATCAGAGTTATAATGTGCAGTGTCCTTCAAGGACAGTGCACATTATCAGAGTTATGTTTTTTGTTTGCATTATGACTGCAGGTATTGTGGTCTATGCAAACATGACTCCTTGTAAAAAAAAAGGTGTCAGTTTTGTTTCCAGATGGAAGGGTAAAAAACACAATTATCATATTTTTTACTGGCAAATGAGGTTCCAATGGTGTAAATCTCCGCACCGGTTTCGACATCCGGTGTCTCATCAGCAGATTCATAGCACCGCTGGCAAACTGCTAATATGTCCACAGGCAAGGAAACCTCCCTCCTCGCTATGATCAGCATGCTGCAGCCTGGGGCTCTGGAACTTTAAGGACCGCTTCGTATCTTCATTGTTTTAAGGATCGCCGTCTCGTATTCACGTTAATTGCGGCTCTTGAAATACAGGGGACCCTACTACTTAGGAACATTCGACTTACGAACTTTCAGAGACAGGAAACAAACATGTCCCTATGTCCAGTTGCCTGTTCGGAACGAGAGTCGTAAGTTCAACTGACGTGCAAAAGATGGCGGTGGTGGCATCTACATCTGCAGAACGTGAAGAACCAGTGGCATCTACATCTGCAGAACGTGAAGAACCAGTGGCATCTACATCTGCAGAACGTGAAGAACCAGTGGCATCTACATCTGCAGAACATGAAGAACCAGTGGCATCTACATCTGCAGAACGTGAAGAACCAGTGGCATCTACATCTGCAGAACGTGAAGAACCAGTGGCATCTACATCTACAGAACGTGAAGAATCAGTGGCATCTACATCTGCAGAACGTGAAGAACCAGTGGCATCTACATCTGCAGAACGTGAAGAACTAGTGGCATCTACATCTGCAGAACGTGAAGAACTAGTGGCATCTACATCTGCAGAACGTGAAGAATTAGTGGCATCTACATCTGCAGAACTTGAACACCCAGTGGCATCTACATCTGCAGAACGTGAAGAACCAGTGGCATCTACATCTGCAGAACGTGAAGAACCAGTGGCATCTACATCTACAGAACGTGAAGAATCAGTGGCATCTACATCTGCAGAACGTGAAGAACCAGTGGCATCTACATCTGCAGAACGTGAAGAACCAGTGGAATCTACATCTGCAGAACGTGAAGAACCAGTGGCATCTACATCTGCAGAACGTGAAGAACCAGTGCCATATACATCTGCAGAACGTGAAGAACCAGTGGCATCTACATTTGCAGAACGTGAAGAACTAGTGGCATCTACATCTGCAGAACGTGAAGAACCAGTGGCATCTACATCTGCAGAACGTGAATAACCAGTGGCATCTACATCTGCAGAACGTGAAGAACCAGTGGCATCTACATCGACCGGAGATTATTCAACCTTTAAAGCGAATTTTCCATGGTAATTGGTTTTTTACCCTTTTATCTGGCAGAAAAACTGACACCTTTTTTACAAGGAGTAATGTTTGTATTGACTACAATACCTGCAGTCATAATGCAAACAAAAAACATAACATATCAGAGTTATGTTTTTTGTCTCTCTACGGCTGTGACTATTTTGCTGCTAGATATGAAGCTTTCGTGACTGCAAGGATTCACACTCTTAGGTTTTTTCAATAAAGTCACGTAGGTAAAAAAATCATAAAAGTAAAATAATAAAAGAACAAAAAATGCATTTATTCTGTTATTTGTCTTACATTTTACCTACGTGATTTTACCGAAAAAAACTAAGATAATTTTTCTGCTATCATTTGCCCCGTGGTTTATTCACTTTGTTGAGTTGTCATCTGTAACAGGCAGGTTGCTTCTGTAAAAAAAAGAAGCTAACAGTTCAGCGTGCCTTGCCTGGTAACATAAAACAGTTGAGGTTTTATTTGTCGATACGGTATTTTGTTAAGTGATGTGTTTACATATCCTATGCTTTGCACTCCTCTCGTGTTTTGTGTAGTTTGTTCTTGTAACCATCCTGACCCCGTGCCCCTAACTGAACATCGGTGAAAAAGAGCTTAATAGCTCATCGGATTCCTCCAGTTCAAAAAATTCAGATAAAAAAAAAGATTTAAAAATATTCAGATAAAAAAAATCAGATTTTTTTTTGATAATTAGTTTGATGACAAAATTATGATTTGTGTGATGATGATGATAATCATTTACGCGACGGCCGTGTCTATCTCTTGCCACTCTCTCTACGGCTGTGACGGTGGGTAGAGTTTGTTCGCCATACCTGAAAGACTTAGGGCCCATGCCGTGGCGTGAGTTTGCCACGTGTCCAGGTGTCCAGTTCGCATGAAGTCCATGCTGCTGCTGCTACTGTCCAAAATATAGTAACGCTCACAGCACAGGCGTAGCAGGACGAGATATTACACGAGATATTATACAAAACTATGTTTAAAGCTGTAACGGCAGCACCCGTTTCACGATATTGCGACGGCGTTCAACTAAGAGCTGTACGGAAACACTACTACGTGAGCGTTGAAATTATAACAGGTGTGTGTGTGTGTTCGTCATGCCAAATCTACAAATGTCACGTAGTCCAAACAAGGCAGGGCAAGAGAGGTGATCTCATCTGGAACGTACCACTTAAACACGGGGGAGGGCTAAGCGGGGGGTGGCTTTTTCTTTGAAGGGATGACAACAGATAACACCAAACAACATATTTTATAGATATACTTTAGTCCAAACCTAACCCTGGCATTTTTAGCCAGCTGCTAGCAACTCCGTTAAATCAAGTATCCAGCTAAGATCCACCCCCCCCACACCCACCCTCCACTTGTTACCAAGAACATTGGCACAGCCCGATTTTAGAGAGCCGTTGGCTAGGGGTGATGTCATCTCAAGTTTTATTTTCCATGGGGGTGAGCTGGAGAGGGGAAGGGGTGGGGTGACGTTTAAATATTCTCTCGACGTGCTGGTGCTTTATCGATTGTCTTGCAAACTGTCTTGAGGGGCTTGACGCAACCTTCGAACCGGGCGAAGTGCGCGCGCGTGGCAATGATTTCTTTGTTTTTTTTTAAACAAAAAATGTTGCCGGTTTAGTGGTCCCCAGTTGCGCTATCGGCGGCGTCTCCCGAGTTGTACGGTTGGCTGTGTACGGTGCGAAAGAAGTTCGCCACGTTGTCACGTAACGTCATCTCGTGCGATGAGGAATCCGTGGGCTATCTCTGCATTCGAGAACGGCCCGTGGCAAGTGGATATCACGGAGGGGCGGATGGTGTTTTTTGGGGGGGGAATTTTTAAAAGGTCCAGAGTTTGGATTTTTTTTAAAGATAATTCCGGATGTATATTATTTTTCAACGACAATTTTTCGGATTGGTGACATTCATGCATCGACGTCACACGACGCCATGTGCCACCAACATTTGTAAAACAAAAAACTCGAGATATTTTCAAACCAATCCGCTAATTTTTTTAACAAAAATCTTGGCCCGATTGCCGGTGTTTTCTCGAATAACCTGAAAATCAGGGGACACATTCCTATCACCCGGGCGACCTCTGAGGGCAGCTCTTCTGCGTTCACGTGACTGACAGCGAGATATTTCAAATTCTCAGAAGCTGGAATTTAGCCAAAGGAGAGAGCAAAACCAAGTTTAACGTGATGGATGTATTTTTCGTTTGTTGTGCATTAACTCACCACACCTTCTGGAGAACCCGACTTCAATCACAGACAACTGCTGTAACGCAAGATTTGAACTCCGCGTCCCACCCCGGAGACTCTGACCTCTGAGCCATCGATTCACTTCGAAGGGGGTTTTTTTTTAAGTCGGGGAAAGTCGTAGGGGCTGTTTTGACCATAACTTCATCCAGCCGGTCAGTGCGGTTCACCCATTCATAGGTACCCCACCGATTTCTAACGACCCTTCGACTCGTGTTATTGGCGATTGTTAAAGCGTGGACTTCGTATCTTACAGCGGAGAGTGTCGCATTATGTAGTGCGTTGAAATTGGTGAGAGACATGGAGAGGCTTTGACACAAAATGTTGATTTTTTGGCATTACATGGGGGCCACGGTGGCTAGGAGATGTTAACTATCTCGCCTGGTACACAGGAGGTCGTGGGTTCGCTCTCGACCCTGACGCCTGCTGCTGCTGTATATTTGAAGTTTGCGTCTATTTCTCCACGTGGTCGCGTGCATTTTCATCCTGGTCCTCCGGGTTTTTAAATCCTTTATGTTAAGTTCACTTGCGCGCTTACGACCGTGCAAATCTTTCGGTCGTTTTTTAACCCACTTCCCGTGATCCAATCGAGCTGACATTTTGCACACAGACTCGTTGTGCGTGACAATTTATTTTCGTGAAAATTTTTTTCCATAACTTTACACTTTTTAGGATTTTTTAAAATATTTAATTACCAATTACTTAATGGTGGCAGGCAATCATCTGACCCATAGGTGGCAGCCATCTCAAGCCAGAGGACGAGAGGACTCTAGCCGCCACGCATATAAAGGATTTATAGTGAAAAACTTTGTTTTTACGGGTTAATTTTTTCCCTCCACGTTTAGAATCGTGCGTTTAGCCCATTCTCGTTGGCCAGGTCGCTTCTGAAAAAGAGCCACACAGCTCAGTGGGCCTTACCTGGTAAGAAGAAAACAAAAAACATTGTTATAGTTTAATAGTAACAGGTACCACACTGATTTCTAACGACCCTCTGACTCGGTTATTGACGATTGTGAAAGCGATAACTCCTACAGAGGAGCCCGTTACATTACTTCGTGCAAAAGAAGTTGGTGGGAGCCATGGAGAAAGGCTTTGAAGGAACATGTTATTTCCCGTTATAATGTATCGTTATAATCGCGGGGCCGTCCATCCCGCAGTCTTCCTCCGTTTCCCTCGCCAGCTTCCACTCCGTAGTCGAGACGTACGATTGCAACACCGCCACGCGTAAACTCGCCTCGGACAATTGCGTCATGTCTAAAGTGGGTATTGCTGGTGGACAAAGACCAGAAATTATTGCACAATACCAACACCTCCCCGGATAATAATAGATCCGCAGGTTTTTTTTTCTCATGTTTGTTCTGTGCCAACTAAAGGAACTTTTGGGGTCACAGTAGGACGACTGCCGCACTAGGAATTTCCAACTTCCCCCCACCCACTCACCCACACAGCACAACAACATTGACACTTCTCTTACCTACCATTATCATTATTGCCGTGTCGTCATTCATGAGTGGGCTATTTTGCATGCATCACGGGCGCGTACAGGATAGGTTGGGTCGCGAGTTGAAACGTCAGCCAGATTGGCCGACAGGATCGCATGGTATACAGCAGGCCGATCAGAACTGGCACGCGTGGATTTCACGCCATTACCGACACCAACACTGCCACCAGTACCACACAACCACAACGCAACCACCAACCACTACCACAGCCCAACCACCATATCACTGCAACAAAGCCACCAACATAACCACCTGACCCAGTTTCGTAACACAGCTGGCTAACCGCTACACACCACTACTGCTCCCCACACACACACGAGCACACGAACACTAAACAAACACAGATCCCCCCGTATATCGTGAATAGACTGTTGGGGCAAGTGAGGTTAGCGAGTAGCACCTATGTGAAGGCACAACAAACATAACCGTCATCACACCACCAGACCACCACAACAGCATCACCACACAGCACAACAAACCATAACCACCAGACCATCACGCGACCACCACGCCACCAGCACCACGAACAATCCATAATCCTCCCTTCATCGCCCGTGTTAATTGTCGTCACGTGTGGCCTTTATTTGCGTCCAGAACAGGTTTGGTCGCAAAGTTGAATCATGAACTCCACCCATGAGGGCCGTTGCATAGCAGCTTTGTCTCTCTCTCTCATTCTCTCTCTCTCTCTCGGCGTGTCGGCAAACCTATCAGCGAGCGGCTTCGGCGGGGTGGAACCTTCATGCAAAGGTCACGGTTATGGCTCTAGGTAAGTCGAGTACCGGGCGTTCTTTTCACGAATTTCAAAAATGTGAAATACGCACGCGCATTGAAATCCAGTGCGTAATGATGACGCTGTTAGTAATGATCCAAATAACGCGCCTAGCAGGTTCTGCTGCACAGCAAGAGTTTTCTTGACAGATACAAAATAACTACGCTATTTTTAGTTTTGCCAAGTAAGGCCCTCCGAGCTGTATACATCTTTTACAGAAACGACCTGGTCACAAACGATATCCCAATGAAGTGGCTTATCAAGTGGAAATCTATGGCAGCCAAAAACTCTAAACGCATGTTTCTAACTGTGGAGGGGAAAACCGGAGGACCCGGAGAAAACTCCACACAAACCACAGGGGGAGAGAGACACGCAAACTCCGAAATATACAGCAGGCATTGATCAGGGTCGGGATCGAACCCACGACCTCCTGTATATCAGGCGAGGTAGTTAACATCTCCTAGCCACCGTGATGATGAGAGGCACACAAACTCAAAATATACAGCAGGCATTGATCAGGGTCGGGATCGAACCCATGACCTTATGTATACCAGGCGAGGTAGTTAACATCTCCTAGCCACCGTGGTGATGATGATGATGATGAGAGAGAGACACGCAAATTCCAAATATACAGCAGCAGGCGTCAGGGTCGGGATCGAACCCACGACCTCTTGTATACCAGGCGAGGTAGTTAACATCTCCTAGCCACCGTGATGATGATGAGAGAGAGACACACAAACTCCAAATATACAGCAGCAGGCGTCAGGATCGGGATCAAACCCACGCGCTCCTGTATACCAGGCGAGGTAGTTAACATCTCCTAGCCACCGCGTCGCCCATGCATGAGTGTTGAAGGACCATCAGGCGAATCACGATGGTCGGGCGGTGGTGACTGCGCACTGCACGTGGACTGCCTGTAATGTGGCATTGTGGAGACAGCAGCGAGGGGTTCGTGGATCACACCGTGACTTCCCCATCCCGTGGGTGTCGAAGGACCATAATACCGTAGCTTGCCATAAGACGGCAGTGCAGTAAAATGCTACAATCTCCATCTGGACCAATCTGAATGGGATAGTGTGTTGCCTCCACTTTATGAACGCCCATTAAACGGCTGGAAGCATCTTAATATATAGAGGACTGCAAACCTTGGGAAATTGTTGGCACTCGCTCACCGCCTGGCTGATGCCTTCTGCGGTTCTTCCTTGTGCTCGAGTTGTCCTTTCCGAGTGAATACTGTGCAACGCGTAGCGAGTTGAAATCATTATTAAAGTATTATTACGCTTTCGGTAAAGTCACGGAGGTAGAAATAAAATAATAGATCACGACGTTTCGATCGCAACACAAGAAATCGTCATCAGGTGGGAGAACCACAGCAAGAAAAAAAACTGCTGACTTTACCGAAAGAACCAGAGTATGGATTTCTGCAGTCACGAAAGCTTCAAATCAAGATTATTACGCGAGGAAAGCCACATTCACTCTCATGGCTCTCGTGTTTCAGGAGGATCTCGCCAAGTTCTCACATCAGACTCCAATTGAGTAATTTTGCGAGTAGTACAATCAGGTCTCGGAGTACGCGGCGGA